GCTTTTATATATTTTAATGACTAGAAACCATCTTGAAAACTTTCTCTTTTAGACTAGCAACCAAGCGGCCATTTTATCAACTGTTTGTTTTGCTGTGCAGGACAATCTTCTACATAGTAGCCATCCTGAAGACTTTTCTAGGCTGATACTTTCAATATTCTTCTCAACTCACTAACTGCACAGCTCCCAACTTACTATTTCCTGTGAAATTTTGTTTCCCTATCTTTAAACCCAAAAATTACAGCAGAAGGCATGGTACCAAGAAGGAGGGGCAGGGGCCGACCAACACGAAGATAGGCACAGGATATAGGTGACTCCTTGAATGTGAAAATGCATGAGGCGGTAGAACTGGTGAGAGACCGAGTTTCTTTCAGGCAGACTGTGATGAGAGCGACGTTCTGCAAAGGACCTGCTACATGATGATGATGATCTTTAAACTCACCATCTTGATAACTTGTGGGAAGTAAGTAATGACTCATTGTATCATAAGGTAAATTGCGATATTTTAATAATCAATTTGCGATATTTTAAAAAGGACCAATTTCAAAACTCTGCCTGTCTAACTAACCGTCCAATCAACTTTTCTGTCCAACCGACTGTTTTCCCTGGTCTTCTTCTTGATTTTGTCCATAAGTGACTGCATTTTTTCATACAAATTAAAAGGGTCTGTTTCAAAAGTCAGTCTGTGCATCTAAACAACTAACCCTCCCTTCAGCTATACTGTCTGCGTGGTTATAATAATAATAACTCCACAGGAGAACATGCACAGCAGGGGTCCACCGTTCACGAGTGAACAGATCCCTCGTCGACGATTGTTCGGTCCGTTACTTCCTATACGATCTCGGAAGGTTTGCCGACCTGGGTCATGACTCCAGGCCACGATCTTCCCCTGTTGCACTTTATCGGACTCTCGGACAGTTACAAGACTATATGGTGACTTTGCAACAGGTATTGTGAGATTTAGTGTTATACTGTCGCTGCGGTAGTAAATTAGCCGACTTCCCTTATGACCACAGGGACAAACTTACGGTTGGTTCATCAGACAGGTATTGGACTTTGGCATTTGGCAGACATTTATCTGGTACTTTGGCTTTATATGGATACAAAGTTGTTTTCCACTAGGGGCTCAGACCAGTCTACCGAGTTCCATCCCCCACAACGTTCCGTTGCGTCCAAAGCCAGCTCGAAGCTCTTTCAGCAGCGTCGCCCAGCTGTCTTGTCCACATTTTCGATCATTTCCTCGCAAGCCAGGTGCTTTCGAACATTGTATGTGAAAGTGTTGCTGTCCTGCGCCTACCTCGACGGTGAAGATTTTAACTAAACACGCGTCGTCTTTCCTCAGACCGGCCACGAGTTCACCGTACTTTTCGAGTTTGTGATTTTCTTCCATCGTACGGCAGGTCGGCTCTATCAGGATGCGCTGGCGTTTTTCAGAAGAGTGCAGATCCATGTCTGCTCTCAATCCGGTCTTTCGGATTAACTCTGGGTACGGTCAAGGTCGACAGCCTGTAACGAGACTCTTCCACAGTCGAGTATTGATGGAGCGAATGCGACCTTGTTGACTTTACCTTTAGAAATCTGCCCAGTCTTGAGGAGCGCGTGAGGGGTGCGGTAGGATTGGCTCTCGCGTGGCCTTAATTCTGGCTTTATCCACAATGTCCACTAGCTCTTTCGGGACTTTATTGTGGCGCCATTTATATCGTCTCCGGCCTAGGGCTTTTATGCACGTTGACAATACGTGCTCGAGCGTCTGCTTAGCTCTGCATATTGGACATGTCGGGTCAGTGATCGCACACGACTTGTCCATGTTGGCGCCAGAAGGTAAAACATCAAAAGCAGATCTTATGACAAAGCTCAGCCGCAGCGGGACCATTCATCAGATCTCACCCCATGTAAGTATTCATGGCAAGGCGCTGTCGAGACCGATCCACTGGTCTTGCTGCTACTGCTGTGCGGTTTTTGGACTAAAGTCTCGATTTCGGGGTCTCTTATCTGCTGTATTACATGTCTCTGCGTTCCATGCCATAGGCCGTGTCGGTCTTTTTATGTGTAACCCATGACTTCCTTCAATTGCAGTGCTTTCTCAACAGATTCTATCGCATCTTGGACTTTCCGTCAACTCTTTTCGATTTTCGACTGCCAGTGGATTTTTTTACGTGCGCAACAATGCACACTACCCAGATACTAGGGGGAATTACTAGAAGTCCAAGTCCACGTGAAAGAATCCCAGCCCTAACCGAACCGGGGATTGAATCCGGAACCTCTAGCACTCGAGGCGAACGACCATGCCTCGAGACCACGCAGCTCCCCCCCCCCCTTTTTTTCCCCGCCTAAGATGGGGACAGAGCGATATCCCGAGTGCTGTCATGTCGATTCTGAATTCAACATTTATATTTATAGCCCCGAAACGTCAGATATGGGTTGTGTGTGTGTGTGTGTGCCCCCGCCCATTTTCTTCGTTAAGCATTTAAAGCACAGTCAATTTTATTAATTTCTTGACCGCAGTCACGTTCGATCAACATTATGGGCCGTTAAAAAAAAAAAATATTAGCAGAGCGTGGTTTCGATCCACGGACCTCTGGGTTATGGGCCCAGCACGCTTCCACTGCGCCACTCTGCTACATGTATATAGGTGTCACTTTTTCTATATATGGATTAAAAATTAACATTTGACAACATTTACAATACTAAAGTCTATAATTTTATAATTGCTTTAATATCATATACACTATGTGTTTTTTTTTTGTCAAGTAAATCTTTTTCATTTGAGCTTAATAGTTAACGAACAAGATAATCTTTGAAATTAACAAGCAACTCGTCCGAATAAAATCACGGATTAGAAACACACACGAAATGCGCTTTCTGTTTTGCTTTAAAAAATATTTATGAATCAATGAAAACCAGCTATTTTAGTGTCCATTGTTTATATATTTCAGAGAGTTTAATTAAATATGTGTTTACAGGTGGGATACAATTTCATGGAGGTCAATGAATGGTTGATTGTGTTATTCAGTAATAGTAATGAAATTTGCCATTGATTGCCATTGATTGCCATGGACTTTCATTTCATTATTAATAATTATATTCTCATCAAAAATCAGTACTGTACTTTAACCTAATCATTTATAGAATTAACTTATTATTGAATAAAAATAATAAGTAAAATAAATGATAAAATATTTAACAATTTCTTCAGACGTCAGTCAAGTCAGTGACTAACGACAGTACAGTTGAGTTTACCGTGGTCCATTCCATGACCAACTGCTGACATAAATAGGTGAAAATATGGGGGTGACTGTAGCCACTGCAGTCAAGCTACCGACTAATGCAAGGAATTCCAGAGAAATTTGACTAAAAAGCTTAACAAAATGGGGAAGCAGAAAAACTTGCACAAAACAACACAAATAACGTTTCGGCCGGGCAGGCTGCCGAATTAACTGTTGGACTACCACCTTCGTAGCACCCGCTGGCCACTCTCTGCACTCCCGGCACTAAGTTTTGATATATATATATATATATATATATATATATATATATATATATATATATATATATATATATATATATATATATATATATATATATATATATATATATATATCTGCCATGTCATGAATCACTTCACCACCAAATAGTGCAGATCCAGCCAGTCTGTCTGCCTGTTCATTATCCACCATGCCAGCATGGCCTGGAGAAAAGATCCAAAGTATGCTCACTACCTGTGACCTTTCCAGTGAAGCTTGCCACTCTGCTCAAAGCATCCCTTTCTTCACCTTTCTCAACATACTTTAAGAATCTGTTACAACTATGACATGTGTATGCATCTTGTTATCTAGCACCGTAGAGCTGCAGTTACCACTTCCACCTCCATTCTCATGCTAGAGTAGATGTTGTGGTGTCGTATGCTAGGCTGTCTTGCACTAAAGATTTTCCATTGGCTCTCGCTAGAAACCCCCAGGTACTTCTCTTTCCTTTCACCACTGAACCATCTGTATAGATAATCAGATCACCTGGGCGTGAATTATCGTGAAATAACTTTGGACTACCACTGTCAAGAATCTTCTCTCGTTGTCTTCCTCTATCCCTCCTTCCACAGATCTTTCCAGTGGTCACAACATGTTCTATTTTCCCTCTTCTCATAACATGGCTGAAAAATGATGACTGTCTCCTTCTGATGTCTGTGATACGTTGTCTTCGGGCTCCGGCCTCTTTCAAAACCTCTTGGTTGCTCTTTTTGGTTGTCCAAGGTATTCTAAGCATTCTTCTGTAAAACCACATCTCTGAGGCCCACATCTCTCAAGAAATTGTTTTGCCTGCCTACCAATTGTCATGGATTCACAGCCATATGTTAAAATTGGATGTATGTAGCAAGCAAGAATTCTTTTTCTAACTCTCAATGACAAGGATGTATTGCACAAGATATTCTTCATTATATAAAATGCAGTTTTTGCCTGTCCTATTCCGTTTCTTATCTCAGTTATGCATCTTCCATCTGATGTTATCCATGTGCCCATATACTAAAATTTATGTACTTGTCCCAAAATAACACCATCGACTTTTGTTACACATTTAGAAATAATTTGTTTCTTTGATACCACCATTAGTTCTGTCTTCCCATTATTCAAACTGAGGCCCATTCTTCAACTTTCTAACACCACAATGGGTAACATATACATCACAATTTTTTATATTCCCTCACCTGCACTAAGTTGGATGAGTAAGTTTGAGGGGTAACGTATACACCACTGTCTGTGATATTCCCTTAGATACCTGAAGTTTGATTGGTACATCTGAATTTATGGTATTCCCTTAGATACCTGAAGTTTGATTGGTACATCTGAATTTATGGTATTGCCTTAGATACACTCAGTTTGATGCTGGCAGAAATTTTACATAAATAATGAGTAAAGACATGTATCCTGCAACCGTCAGCAATATTCTCTCATGTTAAAACATTCTCCTTTTAAATAGATTTTGACAAGGACAGTAAGAGTTAAACAATGATAACTGAGTTCTCCCTTGTCACTGTGGTTTTGTTCATTGCAAGTGGAGTGCTGGTAAGTTTGTAATGTTACCACCTCTTAACATTTTGAAAATCTTTCTTTTACACTGTATCTCCTATTTTTTTTTATAATTATTTAGCAATGCCTATCTCAACCATAACTTAGCCATTGATACCATGACTTACATATTCATACCATGACTTACATTTCATATTGTAGCCATAACTTTGTCTTTCCCATCATAACCATAAGTTTATAATTCCCATAAAAAACCTGTAAATCATAATCATAATTTTGCATTCCTGCATCATTATAATAGAGCCACTGCCGCTTTAACAAGTCAACTAATTAGGAGTTTTCTTAAATCCTATATGTGTGACTGACAGTGCAGATATCACAGCTAGATGTCAACCACATCACAATGCACCACAGCATTTTGTAGAGGCAAGTGCAGAAGAAGAAGCTTGTAAATGTATCTTGCAAGCAACAATTACCACAAATCAGTAGTGCACACACAGTACTGCATAAAGCACCAGCATTTCTGTGGCATCAGGCCCTCCCTCCAGCTACTGTTTCTGCAGTTTTCAACCCAAACCAGCTTCGACACAGAAAACATTCCACATGAAATCCACAGTGTTACACCAGCATCTGGGCAACAGAAATGTATATTTAAAGTCTACATATAGAAGAAATTTGATAGCAGACCGAAGCCAGAAGCAAATAACATGCCACAACTGAACAGTCAGCCTGTCAGTCCTCAATATTCGACCAGAAGGCACAATATGAAGAGAGCAACATCATTCAGAATTTCATATGTTATAGACTATTAGATGCTTGATTCACAATACTCAACAACAACAAAAGGGTTGGGGGGGGGGGGGGGGGGGTAGAGTGAGTAAATAAGGAAATAAAGGGGTTGGGGGGGGGGGGGGCGGAGTTAAAAAAGTTAGGTAACGGGGTAGGAGAGAAAATTGGTGAAATCAAGAAAAGATGGATGAGAGAGGAGTTAAGAGATAAGTTTAAAGGTGGGGAGGGGGTGGGGTGGGATAAGACAAAAAAAATTATATTTTAACACTTTTTATTTTCTTATCCCCAGCTTTTTATTCTTCTGTTTTTGCTGGCAAAAAGACACATTATGAGAGTAGCTTTAAGGTCAGCCCGCAAACCTCATGTAAGCATCGGAGCAGATGCACCAAAGGTATGTCAGCAGAAATGTATATTGAATGTCTCTTGCGTGCTGAATTAAAAATGTGACCAATCGTCATTAGTTGTTAGTCAAGATTCTAACTTCACTGTAGACAGAAATCACACAAAATGTTCTTCACTGTCCCATTTGAAAACTAGTGAAAAACATGTCAGCCTTATGAAAATATTAAAGCTCACACACACAAAGTAAATGCAAAATGCAGCTGTCAGATGTGCCGACACACTAACAGTCCTACACCAGAATTTCAGCTCACTGTTGATGCCAGCAGTCAATTATGAAAGCCAGAATTGTACACAAAATACTGCATAAGTACACACCATTATGAATGCAATTATCCACCTGCCATTTTTAGTGCAGTCAGTTCACAACACAAAGCCGTCATGGGCACATCCTGAAAAGAAACATTACACAGCCCACAGTGTCACAACAAGCAGCTCAGTATCTGGGCGACTGAACCTTTAGACTCAGTCCAAGAATTAGCTTCAGCAGTAAACCATGATCTGCCATTTTGGACTGGAATTCCTGTGACAGATAGAATTGATTTGGATCCTGCAGAGGCACAACCGACACACCTTAACATAGTTGCCTTCACAAATTAGATACTGTAAACTGTGATGTATAAATTGGGTTTTCAAGCCTGATAAAAATCTTTCCAAAACTAGGGCTCGACTTATACGGCAGATATAAAAATAAGTAGATGTGGCCTAATTTTTAGCTAAAAATCTGGAGGTCAACTTGTACACCAGCTTGACTTGTATGTCGAAATTTATGGTTAATATACATGTATTACAGTGACAGCACAGTGTATTTTGAAGATTCTAGACTGGCAGTAAATGAGTAATAATAGAAAAATAATAGAATAATTGACAAATAAAATACAGTACCCAAGAGAGGAAAATAAAAAACAGCTTAGAAACATGTTTAATGTAAAAACATTGTTTGGTCTGAAATCTACCTTTAGGAGGGTTACCAGCTCTAAGATCACCTTCCAGTTCTTTGTAATCATTAACCATCCGCATGATGTTGATGGACGTATGGCAGAGCTTGCATGAGATATGTGAAACCAGCATAGGGCTAGCTGGCGCCCGAGGTGAGGTACTTGGTAACCTCTGAGACACTGCTCACTGGTCCTAAATTTCCATGAAGTTTGGGATCAATATCACTGAACCACAAAACGAAACATGTCACTTTATTATATCAGTTTAGGATTTGAAATCTTTGGTAGTGCAATGGCTTGGACTTTTCCCTACCAGCCCAGTGGTCATGTGTTTGAATCCTGATTCTGTTGGATATAATATTACCCTAATCATCAGCTATATTCACTTGAGTATCCAGTGTTTGACATAATATTGACCTCATCATGCATCATGTTGGACAAAATATTGACCGCATCATCCACTGTGTTTTATGTAATGTAGACCTCAGCACCCATTATGTTAGACATTAAATTGGCCACATTATCCATAATGTTTTTGGTAATTTTGACCTCATCCATTGTGATGGATATAATATTGACCCCATAATCCACAAAAGTTCTGATTCATCTAAAAAATGGGTCTAGCATCATATATGCCAAAACACTTCAAAGTGTGTATGATGGGGTGGGGGGGGGGGGGGTGGCTTCCATTGTACATTCTATTATCATTATTGCAATTGTAGTTCAATTTCCTTGACAAATCCGTCCTTATTTATTTTTTCAAATTCAGGCTTTGAGGCAGAAAATTCACCAGTACCTAGAGATGACACAGAAAATATGTCATGAACCAACTTTACTCTCAGAACAAGTGCAGAATACAGCACATTCCAGTAAGTATATTTACGTGCTGCTACAGCTCTCAAAATTTGTCTACCAAACTGGTTTTCTCAGTACTCCAGTGAAACTTGGTTGACTCATTGTACCGGGAGAATTGGCTAAATAGCTTTAACATGCGAGATGCTTCAGAAGAATAGTTAGCATAAAATGGTAAAATGTGATCACAAAAACTGAAGAATCACAAGTTTTTTCAGGGCTCAGTCTTTGAAAGCTTAAATGGCCAGGACACATCTGAAAGATGGTAAAGTCCCTAAGGACATTCTCTATGGTGAATTGGAGAAGGGTAGAAGATGTTGAGGTTGGCACCTACTATGAAATAAGGATTTATGCAAGTGGGACATGAATGATATAGGAATTGAGATGGTTACCGTAGACTGTGTTGCATGGACATGTGCCCATAACTTACTGCAGCAGAGTTATAACACTGCTTTCTGGAAAGGCTTCTAGAGCCTCATTTAGGAGGAAAAAGAATAGACCCATGCAACTAATTAGGAGTGTTTCATTCGAAGTCTGAGTGCATCTACCTGAGAGGTAAGGAACAAGCAGTCTGCATTTAAAAAACAAGATTTGTAAAGTGAATGTACAGGCAAAGCTCAAGAACTGGAAAAAGACAAAAGTCCAGAAGTTTCCGCCAGATGTTTATAGCAGGTGAATGTTAACAAGAAGAAGGAAATCTGAGTTGAGTCAAGAATTGACATCACTCAGGGCATTCCCATGTGGGCTCCGTCCTGATCTTCAGCAGCCAGCACAGAGTTCTAATACTGATGGTACCAGTCACAATCTGGTTATATGTCCGTCTTGCCTTTCCTTTGAGTGTACTGAGCCGGCCAGACCCTCTGGTTACACCCAGGTGCCTCATTCTCTCCAGGCCATAATAATCTTTGTTCTCTACTGATTCCGTTGCTTGTTCCCAAAGGGCTTTGACCACATCTGCCTTGTCATGTATCAATTCACCACCCTGTGGTGCAGATCCAGTTAATCTGTCTGCCTGTTCATTACCCACTACGCCGGCATAACCTGGAGAAAAGATCCAAAGAATGCTCACCATCCGTGAAAAATGTATAATACCTTGTTTCAGACTGGGTTGACCTACCAACATTCCATTGTACACAAATCTATAATAAAGGATGCATACTCAGACTTACCTAATCAATCAGTCAATCTTTTAATGTTGACCACTTTCAGCTAGGGTCAGAAAACATTGCTGCTCTCTGCCGCTATATTCGTGGTGACGTTTCTGGTACTCATCTTATCTGGTTTTGGATTGTGCTTTCAGTATTCTGTCGCTCGGTGTTTGTTGTGGTTTCCTGTCATTTGGCTGTTTTCGTAACTGGCTGGCCTTGTGCTGCAGATTGTTGGATTGCCTGCTCCGCCGTCAAGTAGATTTTGGGTGGATTTGATTGGCGGTTTGGTGTGTCCAAGGTGGGGAATCTGCTTATCCTAAGAAGGATTAGCAGTTATTTGCTTTGTGCAGGTAGCAAAAGGGTTAGGGTGGGGTCTGGTGTTGTTTAGGTGGTCTTCTTCTGTCCTGGTTGTCTGGTGCTATTACCTCATGCCTCACGTACACTTATATATATAATTTGAATTTCTCCTGAACTATCTAATTTATACTTTGTATCTGTCATAAACTCTCTTATATATACATTGAATCTCTCATGAATTGTTTAATGTATACTTTGAATCTGTCATAAAATTATTTAATATATACTTTAAATCTTTCATGAGCTATTTAATATTTACTTTGAATCTCTCATGAACTATCTATATATTCTGAATCTCTCATTAACTATCTAAATATATACTTTGAATTTCTCATTAACTTTCTAATATATACTGTCAATTGCCACTGAACTATCTAATATATACTTTGAATTGGTCCTGAACTATATAATAAACACTTTAAATCTCTCCTTAACTGTTTAATGCATAAATACTAAAGCAAGACTTCACTTCTAGATTTGCTGTAATTCTTTTTGGAAAAAGGTAGTGGGGGAGGGGGGATTGAGCTGGGTTATGGAGGGGATATGATTGTGTGCACAGAGGTATGAAGGTATTCTTTCCTTATCATTTATCATGAAGATTCAGTGTCATAGTGCTCATGACAAGTCAGTAAGTGCCTCTAAGTTTAAAATGATACGTGCATGTGCACACACACACACACGGCAGTGAATTTATTCCACTGAAATACATAAATCACATTTTCTCTCTCAATACATTGTTTGTTTTTTCAGTGTCACTGAAAGGATTGCTGTACCTTTATTAATATGTTTGAAGTATAAACTATTCTGTATCATCATGTCTTTCTATCTCTCATGACGTTTAATGAACCAGTGACTTTAAATAACTTCCTTAGTAAAAGTTATGAAGATGTCTGATAGCTTATGTACCTTTCAGCCATTTCACATTTCTGTCACCAACAACAGAATTAATTGACTTTCTTAATTTCAATGTAATGATACTTCACTTCATGAAAACATTTAGTTTCATTAAACAATATTTTAAAAAATGTGTTTCTAGCAGAGAACCATTACTACTATCGCATGAAAGCCTTGGACACATTTACCAATGCAGGTAAGGTTCTTTATAACTAACTGCTGAGGTAGCTTGTTTGACTTTTACATGCATGAACATGGTGGGCAGAGTGCGAATAAGGAAGACATAGTATAACAACTAAATGCTGAAGTAGCTTGCTTGTCTGTTACATATATGAACATGGTGGGCAGAGTGCGAATAAGGAAGACATAGTATAACAACTAACTGCTGAAGTAGCTTGCTTGTTTGTTACATATATGAACATGGTGGGCAGAGTGCGAATAAGGAAGACTTAGTATAACAACTAACTGCTGAAGTAGCTTGCTTGTCTGTTACATATATGAACATGGTGGGCAGAGTGCGAATAAGGAAGACATAGTATAACAACTAAATGCTGAAGTAGCTGGCTTGTCTGTTACATATATGAACATGGTGGGCAGAGTGCGAATAAGGAAGACATAGTATAACAACTAACTGCTGAAGTAGCTTGCTTGTTTGTTACATATATGAACATGGTGGGCAGAGTGCGAATAAGGAAGACTTAGTATAACAACTAACTGCTGAAGTAGCTTGCTTGTCTGTTACATATATGAACATGGTGGGCAGAGTGCGAATAAGGAAGACATAGTATAACAACTAACTGCTGAAGTAGCTTGCTTGTCTGTTACATATATGAACATGGTGGGCAGAGTGCGAATAAGGAAGACTTAGTATAACAACTAACTGCTGAAGTAGCTTGCTTGTTTGTTACATATATGAACATGGTGGGCAGAGTGCAAATAAAGAAGACATAGTATAACAACTAACTGCTGAAGTAGCTTGCTTGTCTGTTACATATATGAACATGGTGGGCAGAGTGCGAATAAAGAAGACATAGTATAACAACTAACTGCTGAAGTAGCTTGCTTGTCTGTTACATATATGAACATGGTGGGCAGAGTGCGAATAAGGAAGACATAGTATAACAACTAACTGCTGAAGTAGCTTGCTTGTTTGTTACATATATGAACATGGTGGGCAGAGTGCGAACAAGGAAGACATAGTATAACAACTAACTGCTGAAGTAGCTTGCTTGTTTGTTACATATATGAACATGGTGGGCAGAGTGTTAACAAGGAAGACATAGTATAACAACTAAGTACTGAGATAGCTTGCTTGTTTGTTACATATATGAACATGGTGGGCAGAGTGTGAATAAGGAAGACATAGTATAACAACTAACTGCTGAAGTAGCTTGCTTGTCTGTTACATATATGAACATGGTGGACAGAGTGTGAATAAGCTTATACTATGTCTTCCTTATTCACACTCTGTCCACCATGTTCATATATGTAACAGACAAGCAAGCTACTCTGTCCACCATGTTCATATATGTAACAGACAAGCAAGCTATCTCAGTACTTAGTTGTTATACTATGTCTTCCTTGTTAACACATGCATGAACATGGTGGCAGAGTGAGAACAAGGAAGACAAAGTATAACAACTAAGTGCTGAGGTAGCTTGTTTGACTTTTACATGCATGAGCATGGTGGGCAGAGTGCGAATAAGGAAGACAAAGTATAACAACTAAATGCTGAGGTAGCTTGTTTGACTTTTACATGCATGAACATGGTGGGCAGAGTGCCAACAAGGAAGACAAAGTATAACAACTAAGTACTGAGATAGCTTGCTTGACTTATGCATGCATGCACATGGTGGACAGAGTGACAACAAAAGCTAGTATAATACTAGACTCATATTTGTAAAGACCAGATCTGTGGGTGGTGGGGTCAGCATCACGCCGGCTGCCTGTACTTCCCAGGACATTACCTCATACCCATTTTAGCCTGGGTTGACCTAGAAATCAAGGTCAATTTTCACAAGAGTATGACACAATGTGGATTCGAACCAAAGATCTTCAGGCCAATGTCAAGCACCCAGTTTGGCAACTGCACAATTTTATGTGTGTGTGTGACAGTACCTGCAGCATTGCTTTTTTAATTCTTATATCTGCAACTATTTATTTTGTCTTGTTTTTGGCATTAACTATTGTCTTTTCCCTAAAGTTAAAGGTAGTCATATGTTCATTACTGCTGTTGAGATGTGAATTCTTAGGCCTTCACTTAGGGGGTGAGGTGGCCACTTCCTTTTCTTGTTGCCTTTCCTCTCCAGACATATCAAAACACACCATGAAGATGCTGGTATTTAGTTTCTCTGATATTCTGTCTATCTATCCATCTCTTGCGTGGTTGAGCTCTGCTCTGCTTCCATTATGTCTGAGGGATGTGGCTGTCTATGGTGCACTGTCTAGGGAAAGTCTTTGACACATGTCGAAACCACTTGATCTGTTGTCTCTTGATGTCGTAGTACTAGTTACATCCCAACATCTTTCCTGACATTGTCATTTCTGATCTTGTCTCTTGAATACTAAAAATGGTTAAACTATAGATGCCAGAAATGGAAATTAGCAAAGATTCAGAATACTCATTCTTTATTTCTAATTGTGCTTTTATAAAAATAACAGTGACTACACTTCAGTGGAGTGACTCCTCTGTGCCTCGCCGTGAAGCCAAGCAAACAATTCAGAGATACCTCTTCTGTTTATGTCCTTCGGCAGTAGGAGGCAAGGATGCAGCTGTCATAGAAAAGTTTGCAAAAGCATATATTCATGCTAGACATAGTCCTGCTGTAAGTTTTTTTTTTAGCTGTATGAAACAGTTTGTCATTTCTGAATTGCTTAAAACTAGCTAAGGAAGATGCAAATAAAGAACAACCTGACGTATCAGTCTCTTATCAGCAAAAGAAGAGAATAATCAAATCAATCAGAAAGCCATCAAAACCGGCACAAGACGATTACCATTTTATGGACAGACCTGAGTAAATTATTATTCTACGTCTTGGAACAGGACACAGTCAACTTCGCAGCCACATGAACACAAAATTTAAAATTGGTGAATCAGCAATGTGCACATGTGAATTGGCGCCTGAGACAACAGATCATGTCCTTCAAGACTCCCAAAAAAGAACAAATCAGGGCAGAACTTTTGGCCAAGAGAAACATCAATGCAATTCAAACTTGACAGGTCGCTGAGTAAATGACAAAAGACAGTAAAGTTCATACTAGAGACAACATTGCAGATATAGATAATCTATTTCAAGCAAACGAAAGAAGAAGAAGAAGATGAATTTGCTTATTTGTCATCATCATCATCATGTAACAGGTCCTTTGCAGAACATTGCTCTTATTACAGTCTGCCTGAAAGAAACTCAGTCTCTCGCTAGCCCTTTCACCTCATGTGCTTTCATATTCAAGGAGTCACTTATATCCTATGCCTTTCTTCGTGTTGGTTGGCCCCTGCCCCTTTTACTTATTTGTAGGCATTTTAAAATTACATTTTTGGGAGTTAAAATATGCAGCTGCAAATTAATTAGCAAGTATACGTCTAAGTCTAAGATATATCTTGAATAATTGTCTGAGAAGGGATGAGTTGGGTCAAAAACTGAATGATATACACACACATATACATACATACACACACACACAAATATATATATATATATATATATATATATATATATATATATATATATATATATATATATATATATATATATATATATATATATATATATATAATAAACACACACATATATATGAATACAGGAAAGGAAAATAGTCAGCTATCTCATGTCATTATCAAGTATATGTTAAAAGTTAGTTACATATCCTACAGGCTGTTGCAAACCTGCCCCAATGTTTGTTAGCTGCTTGTGGTTTTACTAGCTAATTTTACATCCAGTAGTTTGCCATTACCTTCTGAACAGTTACTGTCCATACCATTGTTAAAATCAAGGCAAGGTGTTCTGCTGCCAAAATTACCTGCAGCTGAATCGAACCAGATATTTCATAATTATGAACCCATGTTTGTAACGCCTAAGCCATAGATGCCAAACAAGTATATGTAAAGTAAAGGACCCGTTTCCAGACCTTCAGGCATATAGGGCTAGATCTGTATTTTATAGACCAATCGGCATTCGATAAGTGATGTGGTTAACATCACGCCGGCCACTTGTACTTCCAGGACTTTACGTGGTACCCATTTAAGGTTGGGTCAACCTGCGAGCCAATGTCATTTTGTTGAGAAGTCTGGCTCCACCAAGACCTGAATCTACAACCTTTGAATCCGCAGGCGAGCCTCTAGCCACTACACCACAGCTGTTCGCAACAAGTATACGTGAAAATCTAAAATTCAGTGCCACTTTAGCCATATTTTCTTCTTCTGCCGTTCTATCCCTCAGTGGAGCATAGACCCTCAACCAGCTCATGTCAGGTTGTTTATCCTTTGCCATATCTGCCATGGGATTACTTTTCATATGCTTAAATCTAATCTGTGTCTCATGTTCAAATTCTCCCTGCAGATGTTCGGTGAAAATGAGTTCATTAAATACATGGAACTATTGGACAAGTTGATCAGATTGTAAGTTCTGCAATTTATGACTTGTTTACTCATTTTCTCTCGTTCGTTGTTTTAACTTTGTTATGCGGAGTCTCTTTATTTGCTTTACTAATTGCAGGATTGCTTGGGTTGGAGAAGAGCACAGACCTGCACTGGTAATCAACAGAGATTGTGCACCAGGCCACCTATGCTTATTGTCAAAGTATTCTGATTTCTCTTTTCCAGAACAAACAAATAAAAACATTTTGTGGATCCACATTTCTGACATTGTAGTTCATGTGATTACTCTGTTCATAAAAGACGTTTGAATATAAAACTGTCAAGGGAAGCTTTTAACTCTTATTGTACATAACAGTGCGACCTTTGTGAATGGCCATTCTTTACTAGTCAACATACTTTGCTTCTTATGTTTAGAGCATACTAAAATATCTACCATAGTATTCAACTCCATCCTTATGCTGGATGTTGTGTTTCTTCTTCTTCTTCTTCTTCTATTTGTTAGCATTCCCTGGCAGTAAAATGTGGTGGAAATGTGTGGTTGTTCAGCCACTTCTGGACTTTTGTCTTGTTCTAGGATTTGAGTTTTGCATGCTTATCTGTTTTACACATCTGGCAATGCTTGGAAACCACAGGAAGGCTATTGTGTTTAAACACGCTCCACTCTACTCTGTGATTATCGTATGCCTCTATCCAGCTGTTAAGCCATGTCCTGTTTTATCTCACTTCACCGATTTAAATTATTGGTAACATATTCCAAACATGCTCAGGCCTATAGTAGAAAAAATACATTTTTACCCTATTAAAATGTTAGTTGCATATTCTTTGCAGGATGTTGCAGAACTAACCCCAGCATTTTTTGGCTGTTGTGGTTTTTCTCTGCAGTTCAGTATTTTGCCATTGCTTCTGAATGGTCAGCTCTTGGTACAACTGTCAATTCCAACACAAGACAAAATTGTCTGCAGCTGGGATCAAAATTAGCACCCCAGCATTACAAAGCACGTTTGCAACGCCTTAGCTCCAGAGATTCTTGAAAGAACAAATCTATGATCCCAGGAATTTCCTCTAAAAAATCCCCCCCCCCAAAAAATTTTTTTACATAGCTCACAAATAATTTTTTTCTAATATATCAGTTTACATTAAAAAAAATAGTTTATTTAAATAAATGAGTTTTAAGTGATCAGATAATCACAATTCCAACTTCATAACAAACGGGTCACCCCATCGTTGCTAAGTTCCAGTGTTAGCGAAAACCACACAGAATTTCCACCACAGTCCTTGTGGAAAAATAGTCAGTTACAGCAAATCCAATAGCATACACATGCATTAAATAAACAGGCAGCCATTCAGAAGTGATAACACAAACCGTCAAACCGTCTGACACTAGAAATGCAGTTCATCGATGAAAGCAGCAGTTTCAACAGATCAGTAATTGCACATGCGATTTAATCACAACAGGGCACTCACCATTTTCTGAATCTGCAGTTTACAACACAAACTACATATGCACGAAAATACAGCGGCCAGCTATTGTTGGTAGTAAAAAGTTGCCACACAAAAAAAAAACAGTAAACCCGCCTAGCTTCCATATTGACCTAGGTCAAAATGAAGAGCTGAAAATAAAATTGATTTCCCTCCCTAGGGCCTAAAAATATATTAGGTGACTAAAACATGACCTCCTAGCCTGGTTGCAGTTCTGCACTAGCTAGAGGCAGATTGTGACATAATAGCCAATAATAAAACCTTTTTTTTTACAATAACGCCCCCCACTGCTTTTTGTAGTAAATATATTCATACCTGGGGCCTTCTAAACACTGCACACACAAACAAAAGCAGGGCGGTTAACTTTTCAGTTTCTGGGATAAATACCTGCATTCACGTTAGTGCATTTAAGGCGGTGTGCCGGGTTTGCGACTATTAAGGATGAAAGGATTAATACTGTTCTTTTTTTAAATATTTGTTCGATGCCTAAAATGTACTTCTAATTTGTATTGTTTGCCTGGTTGAATGGTTGTTATGGAGAATCCATCAATAGATCAAGGAGAAATATGTAATTTGAATGATATTGTGAGATATGGGGATGAAAAACATTAGTGACGCAAGATTTGAAGGCTTTGTAATAGACACAAGGAAACTGGGTAACTAGTACCATAATGTTATTTTTTTTTTGTTTTTTTGTTTCACTAGCTGTAAACTCTGGCGGAAAGTTCTGGTTGTTCATCCACTTTCAGACTGCAGTCCTGTTCCAGAACCTGAGTGTTGCGTGTGCATCCGTTTTACAGATCTGACTCATTTGTATGCAGACTGCTGGTTCCTTGCCTCTCAGGCAGATGCACTCCGACTTCGAAGGAAGCTCCCAATTAATAGACTCCTACAACATGCTTTTGGGTAGGCAGTGGGTCTATTCTGGTTTTCCTTATAACAGGGTCCCGGAACCCACACCGGGAGCCTACTGGTATGATTAGCCATCATACAGTTGTAATAATTCTGTAGGTATGTGAACATCTAGAGCAGGGGTGGGCAAACTGAAGCAGTTTGTTTTTACTGACCCACTAAGGCTGGTGTAAAATTACTAATCACATAATAGCAGCACACAAAAACATGTTCCCATGCAGAAAGATAAAGAAATGGAAATATCAGCATCCCAAAAAAGTGAAAACTGAAAACTGATGTGGTCAAATCTTTGATCCTGCTAGAAAAACTCTGGCATTAGGAGACAGTGTCTGCTGGCAGACTTCAATAATAGAATGTAAGGTGATGACCGTTCTCTTTCTCTGGTCTGCACATTTTATAGACCCAAAGAGTTTGGTAACCTTTCTTGGCATTGGTTCGTCTGAAGTTGGAACTGTGAGGATCTGTTTTCTGTATGGCCCGTGACCAGGTTGGTAATTGTAAAAATAGGTTACCCACACCTGATCTACAAACTTTTTGTTTGTTCAGCATGCAGTTGATAGTCCATTTTGATAATTTGACATTTATAGTTTTTTTTTACTGTTATTTGATTGTTCATTTTCAGAATTAAGCTGGACCAGAGGAGACGGAGCAAGAATATAAAGGCTGTTGACTTAGAAGTTCAGATTCGAAAAGGTTCCAAGGGAAGTGAAATTGTTACACATGCCAAAAAGTGTGAAAATATTCCCCTAGAGGAAATAAGACACAGAGGAGCACATGCAGAATTACAAAACCAACAGCATATGAGGGAAATCTCCAGTGGGTATAGCAGCACTGATAGATCTAGCAGCCAGGGCAGTGCAGAGAGGCTCATTTTGTGTGAAGAAAGAAAGCTTTAACTAACCTTAATTTTTTTTTATTTTTATTTTTTGTAACTCAAGTTTTAATTTTTATGAAAGACAAAAACAAGTAGCAAGAGGCAGATGAGAACAAGAGGGATTGCAATGACAGATGGTTGATATTAAGAGAGTGAAAATGTATTAGTAGACAAAAGATTGTCTTAGAAGTAGTTGTTAGTTAGTCATTCTTCTTTTACCTCATGCTCGGATGTGTAAGTCTGTGATAATGACGTTGACTTTTAAAAAATAAAATGTGTGCCATAATGATTCAGGGATAGTGTAGCAGTGGTGAAATGCTTCACTTTTTTCATAGCAGCACTGTTTATTTTAGTATTTCTTACTTTTCTTCATGCTTTTTTATTGTAAACTCTGGCAGAAAGTGCTGCGTGATCATTTTTTATGCAGACTGTTGGTTCCTTGCCTCTCAGACAGATGCACTCCAACTTGAAAGAGAACATTTACAATTAGTCGGCTTTTAATACACCCCGCCACCCCAATGGTGCCTGGGGGGGGGGGGGGGGGGGGTAATATGTTTAACAGCAGCTGGGTAACAAACAAATAGAAGCAGTATCAACTTTATTAAAATAGACAGAAAGGTGTGGAGGAGAGTCATGATTGCATTGTCTGCTCCTGATCACACCTGGAGAACAAGAATTCAGAATCACATTAATCAGGTAAATATCTGCTTTGTGCTGCTATGCGTCGTATAGCATTGTAGTTTAACTCTTTCAGTCCCACTTACATCTGAAGCAGTTAAACAAAGACAGTTCAGAAGAAATGTGTTAAACTAATAATTTTTTCCATGTGAGTTCCAAGGCTTCATTTTAGATAACAAAGAATTGATCCATTGCGCCCCCACCCCCACCTTAAACAAGCTGTCATAGAAGGCGACTAATTAAGGATGTTTTCTTTAAAGTAAGAGGGTATCTGCAAGAGGCAAGGAACCATCTGCACACAAATAAGCCAGATCTGTAAAACCTAAGTACACCCAAAATTAAAGTTCTGTGTCAAGACCAAAGTCCAGCAGTGGACAGACAACCAGAACTTCCCTCCGGAATTTACACCTGATGAACGCCAAGATGAAGTAGAAAAATAACTCAGTTATAGTTATTATATTTAACACCTGTCAGTGATAGAGGACAACCAGAAGATTATATTGTCTTTGGAGTGACCAAGAAACATGATGCATTGTTTGGTGCTGAAAGAGTTAGCAAATAATAGGTACCTGAGCTGGAGCGTATTCGGTTGCTTGATGGGCTGTGATATTGTGAAGCCTTAGGATTCAGTGACTCCTTAGCAGTCCAAGGGAAAGAAGGTTTAGATTTAGATGATGGATCAACATTACGGCACAAGGGGTAACCCATTAGTCCTGTATTCTACTTCTGACTCAAGCCTAAATCTGAATAATCTCAGTGCAGTGCACAAACTACACAGCACCGGCAAGGATCCTGAAATACTATAGGTAGATTGCCCGGGCAACGCTATAAAGCTACTTATTTCAATTTCCAACTGCTGAGTAATTTTTTTACATGCGCAACAAAACACACAGGCGTCCGATCCTACTACCCAGCGACCAGGAGAAATTACTAGACATCCACGTGAAAAAATCCCAGCCTTCCCCCAGGACCTCCAGTACCCGATGTGGACGCCATGCCTCGAGACTAGGCAGCCCCCAAGGGAAACAATAGAATAGAAAGAATAGTCCCTTATGAATACTGTTATTACAAATTGTAAAAACTCATAACATTATAACATAAACCTGTTACTTCATGATTTTTTTATGTACAGCTGTAAATAAATATTGAATTTCTGGAAAACTAAGTTTTGTTGGGGTTTGTTTGATGTTTTAAATTATGTAAACAGCATAAGGCAATCGTAAGTAGCATCAAGAAAGGCTTGATTCCTTTCCACCTTGCATTACCATGTAAATTAGATGTCTGATAGAAGCTGCAGAAGAGACCATAAGAGATACAATAGCAAAGTCATAAGGGAACAAGTTGGCACAGAACCAATTCTAAATTACATATATAACAAATAAAATGGTTTGTCTACTTAGAACGCCATATTATTCAAGGCATACACCAAAAGAGAAGAGTGGATGAGAGCAAGAGGTTGACCAAGAACAAGATGGATAGACATCAGAGAAACTCTAGTTAGACAGATTATCATCATCGTACATCAAAACATTCAGTCCATAAGTGCTCAGATCCCCTCTTCAATATCTCCCTAGAGTGTAGTGGCTAATGATACCAGTTCTGTGTTGGTTTACTATTCTTCTTTGGGCCCCTGTGTAGCACTCGTCTGGCTTCACCTCTTTTGATGTTATGTTCGCGTAGTCTCTTCACTGTTGCAGATTCACAATCATTACTCGATTCATTTAATCAAGCTGCCACTCTGTATATCAGCCCTGTCCATTGCTCGCCCGTTTCCCATGTGAGCATTACTTGCAAAACCTGTCATCTCGTTCACTGCCCCTAACACCAGAATACCCCGGAACAAATATGGAACTAATTTCTGCCAGCACAGATCTATCCAGGAACTCCACCCACTGTCTGCGTATGCAACCCTTCTTGATCTTCTTGAGCATATTCATTGAGTCACTGAGAAAGCATGCCTAGATGAAGCCGTGTTTCTAGCTAGGTTATTGCTTTAGTTGCTGCCATGACCCCCCACAAACTGCTTGTCATCAAGGCAAAGGCACTGCAGTCTTCTTTGACAGTTCTCCCTCCGACCTGATCCATAAATGCCCATGTGCTCCTGACATTTTGAATGACGGACCCATCTGTGAAGACGATCACAATCTCGCCTTCAGACAAATTCTCACATATCAAGGTCTGTGCTTCTGCTTCCACAACAACTGGGCTTTATTGTCTACATTCTCTGTTCAGCAAGGCCTGGCTGACAGAAAAGGTAATCTAGTTTCAAAATAAAAAGTAAAGGACCCTTTTCTATGCCTTCAGGAGTATTGGGCATATAGGACTAGACATATGTTTGTAGGAGGAGGTGTTTCCTTCAAAGTTGGAGTATATCGGCATGAGAAGTAATGAACAAACAGTCTGCATAAAAATAAGCCAGACCTCTAAACTGGATGTGCATGCAAACGTTCTGGATCAAGACCACAGTCTAGGAGTTGATGAATAACCAGAACTTTCTGATGGAGTTTACCGCCAGTAAATATTAAGAAGAAAAAATCTGTTTCAAGGCCTATGAGAAAGAGGAAGATGTAGTATTCATACATACTTTTATAGACACACAGCCCTCAGTGGGTGATGTGGTCAACAGAGGTGCACAACTAGGTGTAAAAAAAAATATATTAAAAAAACTACCAACCGGTTATTTACCATCAATACATTAGATGATATATATTTTATTAATAATAAAACATAATAATACTTATTTTATGCATATTTATTTAAGATCATTCATGAAAAATATATCCAAACAATTTAACAAAATAAAATTCACAAACACTATAAGTTTTATAATTCCAGTTTAAACCATTTTAATGCAAAATATCATCATTAGAACACCATTTATATACATAAAATGAAAAAAAAGGGGGGAGGGGGTATCTATGTGTTTCTTCCTTCAGTTCTATGCAGCTAATTACATTTAAGTATTTAGTCTAAACACTACGCTATCAATGCCACACGTGGACACTCACATCCTCCAATAAAAGTAAAATTGTGACAACAGAGATGAAATGCCTTAGAAGAGCTGCAGGAGTTTCAAGGAAAGACAGAATACAAAATCAGACAAATGCTAGGAATAAAGCCAGTCTTACAGGTCATCAAAGAACAACAAATGAAGTGCTTTGGACACCTAACAAGAATGCCCTGGTACTATCTGCCACAGCGAGCCACACTAAAATGTTACAACGGGTACAGAGCGAGTGGAAGACCTCGGAAACGATGGAGTTTTGGCATTAAGAACAGCCTTACAGAAATGAACATCAGTCTTAATATTGCTCTTGACAGAGCTCATCAACTAACATTACATCTCCCCCCGACACTTCGATGAGGTACAAGGTGGAAGAGAAGAAGAAGTCTAAACACAGTGCACAGTTCTGAATTTTCTCATTAATCTAAATTATTAGTTTTACTCCTGCCTATAATGTTATTTTTTATAATTTTTGGGGATTTACGCACTGGTTGCTTTAAACTAGAACTTGCTAAGATATAAGAGGTTAAAGTAATTATAGGCTGGTATTGAAAGAGCTAAATTTAGTAGAAACTCTTAAAACAAATTTAACATGCCACATCAGTAGCAAGCATCTAGCATGGTCTTTAGAATACATGAACAGACTCTAAGGGTAGCAGTGAGTCTACGTACAAACTATTGTACACATGGTTCTTGTTTCAATGCACCTGTTAAATAAAACTTAAAATACCCTTCAAATCTCAAACTAAAACCTCTCCATCTAGAAAAAGTAGATTCATTTACCGTATTTGTTGATGTATAAGATGCATCTCGAAAACTGACCACAATTTTCCCAAAAAATCTAAAATTTAAAGAAATCAGTGTTGCTGATACCACACTTCAAACAAAAAAAGACTTCACAACTATATTCTCAATGACTTTGGATCGTCAAAGCCTTATGGCTTTTTCCCCCTTAGGGAGATCCAAAATGACATTCTGCTGATCTAATCCTGTGTTCTTTAGCATGTATATAACCTAGAGTTTTAAACTCACAGTGGAATGTCGCTTGCTATCTATTTCCACATGGGAATTGGAATCGCGTAGACAGACTTAAGAACTATCTGCCCAGTACCATTTTCACACTCGAGTCTAATTTGCAACCGTAACGTACTAACCAAAAATACTGACTGACATGATAAGCACCACAAAGATATAGTGATGCAATAATCAATCAGGGATACACAACCAGTCAGCTGTGAGTATCATGTGATGATCTAATCTCCCTCTCTCTGAGGCACATTACCACTAAAAAACAAAAGTCATGCAAACTGCTCTGGTTTGATGACATAAAAAAATACTACCTAAATAGAATTAGGAGGTTTCACAGTCATGCATTTCCCATGTGATACTATTCTCCTCTGTCTCATTTACAAATGACATTGTTATGGCTTGAACGTGGAGCATTAAAAGATCTTAGAAGGAAAAACCTAGAGTGTGGACACCTATGAAAAATATTGGTACATGTAGCCCTTGTGACACACAGACAGATTTACACACTTTCTGTTTTTATATAGATACTGATTTTGATTTAAGAATCTACATCTCCTGCAGCAAATGGCTTTAAATGTGGATGCTGACTGTTTCAGTAGCAAATTGGTTGTATTCTTCCACTTAAATGATGTGCTTTCTGTTTGAATCTACACTAAACGCCAGACTCCTTCCGCATACTTTCCACATGCTCTCATCTAACATTTTGACCATTATTTGTTCACATTCAGTCTTTACAATGTCTACCTTGTCCATTATAAGCGCTCCTGCTGCTGTTGGTTTTGTAGCCAGTTATTCCGTTCTTTCATTTCCTCGCACTCCTGAAAATCCTGGACAGTATATCCGCATAAATAGAAAGAAAAAGAAACCAAATCAGGTATACTTTATGATACAGTTCCCCAAAAATATCAACAGGGGTTAATAAGGAATATGCTACTTTATTAGTTATATTTAATTAACTTTTACTATGAGTGAATGGATGTAGCAGAATATTAAGTCAAACCATCACCAAAAACTCAAAAGAAACCTGACATTTTGAAATAAAAGAAATGACTAAGTTTTCTTAACAGAAAATGAAACAATTCCTAAGTACAGTGACAATTACTGAACAAATAAGAGAACTTTCATATACAGCTCTAATGTTTTTCACCAAGGACTACAGTATAAATGTGAAGATTTAATCATTGTGCAATGACCAACCAAAAAATAAAAAATTCTGAATAATAAACTGTATGTACTAAAGTTTAAAACAAAATTATTATAATCACTGCTGTCAACTGTTTGGGAAATAAAATCAATGCTATCACAGGTGCTGGACTAAAGGCAAATTCTGACACTAATAACACCAAAAGCCATTTTTATCCCAACAGTACTCTACTCCTATTTTTATTAAATATAATCACACCTGAGCCTACCGAATACTTGGTAATCTTACTTTCAGCTTCATAGCAAACGGGCCACCCCATAGTTGCTCCACTCCTGTGCCAACGAAAAATACACAGAATGTTCGTCGCAGTCCCTTGTGGAAAGATTGACAGACTGCTGTCTCAGCATATGCACTAGCATACACATGCATTCAAAGCATACGGTAGCCATCAGAAGTGCTAACACAAACAGTTTGATATTAGAAATGCAGTTCATCATCGACGGCAGCAGAAGTCTCCAACAGATCAGCAGTTGCGCACGCGATCAATTTTAATCACACAATGGCACCACCAATATTGCGACAACAGGCGAGGCGCTATTTTCTTAATCTACAGTTCACAACACGTTGGTCACAGTTGAAAAACATTCCAAATGAAATCCGCAGCTCACAGGGTCGCACCATGCACTCAACTCAGTAGCTGGCGCGACGAAACTGTATCCTTTCAGTCTACAAATAGATCAAAAATGCAACGGCCACCGTCTGGCAGAAGCAAAAAATTTGCCTCGACGCGAAACAGCAACCGCGCCTGGCATCCATTTTTCAAATACTGTGCATGAGCAAACATTACCAGAGCAGGTACACACATCAGCACAGCAGTGACTGGCCCAAGCTGTAAAACCAAGATAACAGCGACTTGGCCATGTGGTGTAGGCAGCAAAGCTCAACAAATGGGTCTCGGGAAAGAGTTAAAGCAACCAGCATTTTCTGTCTTGGTCTGCCTTATTTTTTTTTTAAACCGTTTATCTTTTCAGACATTTTAATGTTTCCTGATTGCTTCTCTTCTTACAATATGATTCAATAATACTGTTTGGCTCTTTATTATAGCTGCATAGAATGTTCTAATTTCATAAGCATTTGATAGGCAATTGTTGTTAGCTGCTACTGCAACAATATATGCAACATTCGTCACCACCACAGAAACTGCTTCTCCTCCATCTGCAAGTTGTTTATAATATTGTTAGTTTACAATTCAAGGCTCACTGCTATATATCAGAACAGTTTCAACACTATATTTCCCCTGTGTGGATTTTAGGGGCCCCATTGTAGGGGGGAAAAAGAATAAACCCACTGACACCCTCATACTTCGAAGTCGGAGTGCATCTGTCTGGAAGGCAAGGAACCAACAGTCAGCATAAAATAAGTTTGTTAGTCTTGTTCCAGAATTTCAGTGTTGCGTGCACATCTGTTTTACAGATTTGAACTATTTCTATGCACACTGCTGGTTCCTTGTTCCTCATGCAGATGCACTCCGAATTCGAAGGATGCCCCTAATTAGTTCATTCTTATGACATGCTTGTTTAGGAGACAGGGGTCTTTTTTTTGCTTTCCCCACAAAGGGTCCCCAGAACCATACAGGGAATTTTATTCAATTCAAATGCAAGCAAATAAGATAAAATACAGTTAACCTGAATGCATACCACAATTAGTTTAAGAATAACTTTATTTCAAATGGGTAGTTATTCACATCATTGGTAGGCTGTCTAAAGAGCTGTGTGTGTTGCCAAGCATTGTCTCCTTGGCCCCCTTGCATGACTGCTGTAACAGAGAGTGACTGACTGCCATGCAAGTCAAAACTTTGGAACTGTTGCAAGGCCTCTCCTGAAATAGTGTTGTTTTTATCATTATGCATAAAAATGATATGTTCAATGCCATAAAGTGTCAGGTATGAAATAATTCTTATCACAAGTTTTCTTACTCGGTTAACTTGAACTGAATAGTCCTCTCAATATAAGGGGTTGACTGACTGACGCTTTTTCTCCTCCAGGATGCTACATAAAGTTTTCTGACACTGTTGCACCTCCCAGTCACATCCTGAATGCCACTTTATGAGGCAAATCTCAGATAACCCATTCAACCTCCGAAGAAGTTAGTATTTAGACACAGTTGTGGATGGGAAAAGTTAAGAAGACAGTAAGTGGTAATTAACCTTCTAGCTTCATAAAAAAAACTTTTAAAAAGTCAAAACATTATCGGAAACTCTCCCCAAACAAACCAGAGAAAAAAAAAAAAAAACTTTTGAGTCTAGGTCAGTTTTTAACAAATTCCAGGGGGTTAAACCTTAAGAAAACTGAGCCCACAGGCAAGCCTGCTAGCAACTACAATATCACAGACCCTAAGTCACTAAAAACAATTTACAATTTTGTAAAGACATCTTTAAATTTAAAACTGATATACAAGGTCCGACAATCAAGTAATGAGATTTTATTATGGCCGAGACAAAAATGCCACCTATGAAGCAAAGCATGGAATCTAAAAAGGCAGCCTTCATCTATGATCTGTCAACTTTTCATCGCCGCTCGATAAGCAGACAACAAACAAGACGCCATTCTGCTGACCTAGTCAGAGGTGTATTGTTACGTAATCAGCACAGAGAAAAAGCTAACATTAAATTCTTTTTTAAAACTCAGAACAAGCGCCATTGAAACAGTTGAATAGATGCAACAAGTTTATGGAGATAATCGTTTATCTCGTGCACAAATTATTAACGATTCAAAAGTGGTGTGGAAATGATTACTAATGCACCTAGACCTGGAGGCCAAATTTCTGTTCGTATCTTTGATGATATTGATGACATCCAAAGGGCCGTCCGTAACATCAACTTTAAGGGCCATAACAACAGAAGAACTACAGAGGTCATTCCAGTGTTTGTTAGACCATGCCACTTGCTGTATCAATGCACAAAGGGCTTACTTTGAATAAGATACAGGTTATTTCTTCAACTGTTTATTATTTTAATTTTTATGAAATTAGTCAGACCTTGTAGCAATATATGATGATAAACACTGAGCAGTGAATATCTGAATTTATTCCATTTGATTAAAAAAAAATATGCCTCTCACTTAAACATACACTATTATATATTCAGTGGAAGTCATATTTTTTAACTAACTGACACAGGTTAGTAATGTACTTGATACAACAGACGGGCCATCTTTACTTCCCAGCAATTGTTTTGGAACCAATTTTAGGATAACAGTAATTTACTACCTGCGTGAGGAGCCCCTTTTGGAGTGAAATAAGAAAAGACCCACTGCCTTCTAACAAGCATGTCAGACTGACTGACCGACTTTCTACCCCACCAGGACATCACAAACACCCGATAACACAAAGTGCCACCATGTGGATGATGATCACGGTAGAGAGGTTCCAGAAACCGAGTTCAGTCTTTAGGCCATAATTATGGCCAGGCTATATTGCGGCCTCTGGCAAGAGCCAGAGTGGGACTTCAAATAACGAAAAATGTCATCCTGAAAAGGACGGAAAGTTATTGTGTATGATAAACATGTCAGAAAAAAAAAGACTATTTAGGGGTTGTTTCCTAAGCAGTCAGAGTGCATCTGTCTGAGACGTGAGGAACACACACTCTGTATATAAATAAGCCAGATCTGTAAAAGGGATGTGCATGCAAAACTCAAGTTCTGAAACAAGACTTGAGTCAAGAAGTAGATAACAACTAGAACTTTCCACAGAAGTTTACAGCCAGTGAACGCTCAGAAAAAGCTTACCAGTCTGTACAAAACAGTTGTCCCCGGCACAGATTCTCCAGCTCACAGATCCATTCTCATAGACTGCGCTCTGTGCTTTAAATTCCATTTTGCTAATCCTTAGATCAGTATCTAAAACAAATATAAGAAAATTATAACAAACAGCTGCTGACTTTCTTCTTTACACATCATTCAACTCAGAATCATTAACTCTATCTATCCCAGATAGTATAAGCAAACATCTTAGTTCTTCTCCTGCATTCACCCTCAAAATGGCAGCCGTGCTGTGGTTTACATCTAGGTTACGATATCTACACCAATCGGCCAAAGACATCCAATTTCAACAAAACCCAAATTAACCATCGCTTACGACATGCTAGGGGGCAGTAGGTTTATCCCCCCCCCCCCCCCCCCCAGGTCACACACGAGGAACATCTTCAGAATGAAATCTAATAAACCTTCTTAAAAATATATGAGTTTAAGGAACCTTCTCCTTGACCTAAGCAATCACTGGCTGTCCACTCTGGTGGAACATTTTTGTTGCCTGTACACTTATGGACATCAAGTTCAAGGAATAATTTGGACAGTAATAACTATGGAATGAAGTCAGAAGCAGTTGCAGTAACAGAGAAGATGGAATGGGTTATAACAGTTTCCTATGACAGAAAGAGATCAACAATATGACTAAAGTATACAACAAGTTGGAGTAGTCAATACTTTTATGTATCATGGGTCCATTATATGTCATAATGAAAAGTCCAGATAAAGCCCTGATATCTCTCATCATCATCATGTGATACGTCAATAAATGTAGGCTATCAAATTTCACCATCCCACATGAACATCAGAAACCAGGTAAGTGTTCTTGTCTCAGCTCACCCATATGATCCATGTATTTATATCTTTGCCTTCTCCTTGCTCTCTTTCCATCAATTTTGCCAGTCATAACCAAGTTCTCAAATCCCTTCCTTCTCATACCTTATATGAAAAACGTACTGTATTGTCTAATTTGATTCTAATCAGTTTATGACTTTTAATATACACTGAGCTGCCCTTATAGAAAACCCTGGGTATATTTTTTTTTTATCTGCTAGACAGGGATTTGAACTTATAAGTACCAGCTTGGCAGGCAAGGGCACCAGCCCCTGTAGCTCCCTGAGATACATAGTTTCAGAAACAAGACTCCAACTTACCACTGAGATCAAATTTCCACACAATTTCTGCAGAAGCTGAGCCTTCTTCTCGTGCTAAATAAACCATCTTCCAGTCAAACTCCTCTTTGCGAAGTACATAAGAGAATGAGTAAACACAGGCTCCCCAGCCCTGGTATTCCTCATCCTTCGATGATTTGCGTATATATTTATCTGCAGCACAACTGTAAACAATATGAATCATCTCACATTCTCTTTCATCCTCTTTTGGGGAGAAGATAAAATTATTCTGCACAACAGGATCTGCAATGGCACCATTTCCAAGCTCCCCACGAGCTTGTCTCCAGGCTAATGACCCTGTTGAGCGACCCGGTAGATTTTCTGAATCGTTGGTTTTAACTGTGACAAACTCAGCGAGCTCACAGATAAGCCTATGCCACAACTGTTGTTGTCTTTCTGGTGTTAATGTGAGTAGTTTCTGTTTCCACATGTTGTGAATTGTTCTACGCAGCCAGGCCTCTCTGCAGAGGGTTCGCCTTGCTAATACTTCATTATGTTTAGCTGAATATCGCCAAGTGACATCCTGAATTTCGTCACAGGAAACAGCAATGACGTAAGTTAATTTCTTGCCCCAGCCTGACTCGTAAAGGAGAGGTTTATCACAGATGTTTTCACAAGGGTCACAATGAAGCCAGCGTGACTGGGATTCTGAAAAGACTTCTGTCCATACGTGATCTGTCCAATCCATAACATACCTGGCTTCAAAGTCTAAAGCTCTACAACAAAGAGTAAAACAGTCAGCCCATTCACCACATCTTCCAAGGCGGGTGTCTAGTAGTTTTTCAGCATTTGTATATCGAGGAAATCTGTTAACGTGAGCACAGGTAGTGCATGTGTGTGCTTCGACTCGGCCAGCACCCCATGCCATTTCTTCCATAGATGGAGGAAGACTGCTAGTATTCCTAGTTACTCCCCCACATAAAGAACAGGGCAGTGTATCCACCCAATGGAAGAAGGATTTCTTAAACCAGCTAAGCAATGCCAGCAGTAAATAATCTCTTATGTTTAACGGTTTACTGGCACCAGCATTGGATTCCATATTTCTCTTAGCCTCCAACTCGAGGCTTTCAACTGGTATAATACTTCGAGCCTTTCGCTTTACAGCAGGATTTTCATAAGACAGAACTCGTTTCATTCCCTCCTTCAGGCGTGCATGAAACTCAGCTTCTGATCTCTGAAACAGAAATAAAAATATGTTCAATGAACATGTCAGGAACAATCGCCAAAAATAATCTATACTGTTTAAAAGAAAGGAAAAAACATAATTACCCAATAATGCTTTCCTGTTCAAAAATAAGAAAAGCATAGTTATCCCATGGCATGTTTTTAATTAGTTAATGGGAATGCCTGTACACATAAAAAACCATCAATGAACCAGATGCAAAAGAACTGTCAACTGATAGGTTGAACTCTAAGATATCCTGGGGTGCAATCTGAACAATTTCACTCAGTAAATTACCAAAACTATGAATGTCAAAGTTATGATAAAATTATGTTCTTTCCACTAGCGACACATATTTTTTTAAAGTAGAGTGCCATTGGATAAATATGTGTTTCCTTTTTTAACAGTATATATTCAAACATTAAAGTCAGGCTGCTGTATGTTATTTTCCTTCTAGTTTGTGCTGTCTGGTATTATTCATCACGTCTAGCCACAGCCTTCAATCTGATATTCATCCATTGCTTGTCCTGCTGTGCTAATACATGTCACATAGGCCACACAGTCTATTCCTCCATTCTGTACTATTCTGTGCAATCCCTTTGATATCACTGACGGAATCCAGTCCAGCACCTCTGGCATCTCTCACCAAAGTTTGTTTAAGGGTTCTTTTGGACATCCTCGCTTCCTCAGTCCCTTTATTTCCCATTTCAGTGTCTCACACACTGCCAATAATTTCTGATATATTTGTTCATTCCTGCCATGACACTAAAATGTCTAGCATATTCTCTACTGGCCTTCTAGCTTTCCAAGTGGCACAACATTCTACAATTCCCTCTTCTGATGGAACTTTCAGTTCTCTATGAGTTAATTTCTTTCACGAAATCTCAACTATGTTTTTTACTGTGTATAGTGTCCTTGCATCTTTTACAACACCACATATCTGCAGCTGCCACATAATCTAACTGCAGTTCACTTAAGGCAACAAAATATTCACAGCTGGCCACCTAGTCTGTCTTTTCTGTTGTTGATCTTTTCAGATGTCACAGTGTTCACTGAATGTCTCTCTCCTCACCAAATAACCAAAGAGTACTGTATAATATGCAGAGGGAAGGACACTTTTCACACCGCTGGCGCATCAGGCATTTGTGCTAGACCTATATTTTTACTGACCAATTGGCACACAATGAGGTCAACATCCTACTAGCCACCTTTACTTCACCTGGTACCTATTAAAGGCTAGGTCTATCAAGGAGCCATAGTCAACTGTTTAAAAAAAAAAATTTTCAATGTGCATTTGAACCCTGGACCTTCAGGCTGATGGATTAGAATCTCGCTCCTGTGCCATCCAGCTCTTAATCATAGTTGTACATAATATACTTTCACTAGCCTTTCTTAGGCATTTCATTGCTAGTTACTCTGGCTTTGCAAGGTATATATAACCTCCATCTTAGAAACTACATCTCCATTGTCTGCATGCTCTACCTAATCTGTCTGCTTACATTCCAAGATCAACTGCCCTACATCAGAACAGACTCAACACTAGATTTAATACAACTGGGATAATAAAGCTACATGCTTACAAAAATGTACTTACTGCAAACAGTTCTGCTGGTCTAGTTGTCTGTGTAACATCATGACTAGATGGTCTCACTGCTGCAGCAAATGAGGCATGCTGGGCCTGTGCAGGTATACTGGCTGGTTTCACAAGCAACTTTTCCTGTTCTTGCTTTAAATCTTCCTTAATTGTTTTAAGAACTTGTAAGTTGGCACCCACGGGCAGCATCAGAAACTCACCATCCTGTGAGTAACAAGTATAGAGAAAATTATATTTATATCTTTTAATGACATTTGCAAAACTGCCGACACAGAAGTCTGGTGATCTCTCTGGCAAAACTTTACATCCCAAGTGGAAGAGGAGCAACTAAGTCAAGTATAAGATTTGCAAATTATGGCTTCCCAACTAATACATTTACCTAATTGCAGCAGTACCAATATTAGTCATAAATTATATAACAATTATTAAACTGTAGATAAATTTTTGTTTAAGAAAACAAAAAACATATTTCTCATTTGAATGCAGACTATTGGTTGTGCAACTCTCAGGCAGATGTACTTTGACTGCAAAGGGAAAATCCCAATCAGTCATCTTTTACAAGATGTGTGTTTGTCTGTTGCATCAACCCTACAATTATGTATTACATGTTGCAGGTGATTCATTAACTATTCGGGCATTAACTATTTCTACACAAGGGATTTCATTTCAATTATTAATTGAATTAGTTAAGTCAAAGGAACAATAAAATTTTGGAAGCCACCATGGTGTATGGTTACATGCTTGCCTGCGTATCCGAAATCTGCGGGTTCAGATCCTGATGGAGCTGGACTTTTTTTCAGAAATGATTTTGGCTTCTAGGTCGACCCAGCTTTAACTCTCGAGTCCCAAGGAATGCATCATATGTTTATAGGTTCCTACCTGGAAGCCCAGTTATTGTATGATGCACCTGATTTTATGTCTCTCTCTACTTCCCCCTGGGACTGTGGTGCTAAATCCTCTAGGACTCAAAGAGTTGAATGGGTACGAGGTAAAACCCTGAGAAGTAAAGGCCATCAGCGTGATGCTGACTGAGTGCCAGTTGGTCTATAAACAAACAGGTCTGGCCCTATATACTTGAAGGCACAGAAATGAGTAATATTTTTTTTTTACTTTGAATATGATTTAAGTAATTTAACACTGAAGAGAAAACGACAGGGAGGACTGAGAAATGTTTTTGAGCCGTCTCCACAATAAAGCTGGCTGTAATTGATCTCCAACAATCTCTGTCTCTTGTCTTGATAGTATGCTCTCTCATACTGCTGTTCGTCCATCTAGAAGAGTCTACTGATGTTGACCTCCCAATTGTATTTGTATCGTTGTTGTCTACTTCGGCTCTCCTAGCAGATTTGGCCGGCAAGTAGGTCGGCTTCGGTTGGCATAGTGGGAGTTCTTTTCCTTGGCCGCACTCACAACAACGAGCGGAAAAAGTCACGACTCAAACACGACAGTGAGGTCGACATCAGGGCTGCCAATGCTTGGTTGTGTCCCCCAGATCTGGGTTTTTCTTTTGACACTGCGGGAAAATCTGGGGGTGTTTTTTTTCTGTGTGTCTGTCTGTGGGTGTTTTGCCGATCTGTAAGCTTTAGGATTAGGGTTTGGGTTAGGGGTAGGGTTACGGTTAGGATTAGGGGTAGCGTTAGGGTTAGGGGTAGCGTTAGGGTTACGGTTAGGGGTTAGGGGTTAGGTGTAGTGTCAGATGTGACAATTGTGACGCCGTAGTTCCCTATAATCGCGCACAGTCGCATGCACGCGCAAACAGTCGACGGACGGTGGATGCTACTGACACGGACAATTCGCCACCGATTGGGCACCAGCCGCGCGCTATTGCCGTCATATTTGCCACACTTCCAGTGGCGCCACTCCCACAAACATCAGATTGTCGGCCAGTATTTCGACCTCTTACGTGAAAGTTTTCACATCTAACCCTAACCCTAGCCCTACCGCTAACCCTAGCACTAACCCTACCGCTAACCCAAACCCTAAGCAACCCTACACGCAACCATAGGACGATGATAGACACCCTACACAACCCTACACGCAACCGTATGATGATGATAGACACCCTACGCAGCCCTACGCGCAACCGTAGGATGATAGGTAACCCTAGACGCAACCGTACGCAACCCTACACGCACCCGGATGATGGTAGGTAAGTATGTAATTTGATTCGTGACTTTTTCCGCGACTTGTTTTGAGTTTGGCGAAGGGACATAACTCCCACTAAGCCGGCCGACGCCGTCTAGCTTGCCGGCCAAATCTGCTAGGAGAGCCTCTACTTCTCTTGCCTTGGACGTTTTCCTCCAGTATGGTTTTGACAGTTTTGAAAATAGTAAAACTAATTTATGTATAGAGAAATTAATAAGCGTATAGTTGGTTACTTACTTCTGAAAGAGTTAAGTTAATAATGTTTTGATATTAGTGATGATACTTTACTACAATTTTAGCCTAGCGCCCATCAATTGACCAACCTCTATCTCTTCAAATCCCATTTCGAACAGGCACTCCATTCCCCCAGATACAGACAGCAGTTTATTCTGAATAACTTGGTTAGAAATCCGAATTCTTCTGTACTTTTTATCAGCCGGGTTTTCTAATATATTCCTGGCAAATTTAATTAATATATCTGCCGCTGCGATAAATTCTTCCTTTGAATTGTCAGACACCAGCTGTCTGACTGAGCTGTATGATGACGACGCCATTGTTGACGATGTGGAGTTGTTCCGTACATTTGTGTGTACATAAAAACCTGTCCAACGCCTATAGGAGTCGGGACACATAGGGCTTGGTATATTTTTTAAACTAATCGGCACTTGTTTGGCAAGGTGGTCAGCGTCGCACGGACCTGGTACCCATTTAAGACTGGGTCGACCTGGGAGCCACGGTCATTTTTCTTTAAAAATCTCTAGCACTGTTTAAATTTGAACCCACAACCTTTAGATTCGCAGACTAGTGTCTAGCCGCTACACCCCGGCGGCTCCCGCTATGTTTCAAATATATTTCAGAAAAAAATAAATTTCAGTGGCACTCTTCTGTGGCAGTTGATACGAGAGTATTCTCGTTACAAAAGCCAAACCATCTCACATGTTGTTCTTTGACTCGAATAATTAGTTTCAGTCTCATTACTCTTCTAATTGCTTGATTTGTAATTATATCTCTTTACTTAAGTCTAGAGTCTCTTTTGAGACAGTGTTCCTCAACTTATTACCCCCCCCCCCCCTCGGCCCACCGAAACAGGAGGATTGGCGCTAACCAAACACTGAAACAAAAACACTTTGTCAATCTGATGTCACATACAAGTTTCAGCGGATGCAGCAGCGTTTGATTCTCATCCTCGATGTGGTAATCCTGCATACTGCAATTACCGCAATTATTACGGCCTAAATTTATCACGCCTGCACACATGTCAGCTTGCGCCATCCAAGACTTTCCTCTTTTCAGTCTGTGACCCTTAGCTCTATACAGGGCTTCATGTAGGAAGTGCCTCTTGTCCGCAGCTACTGATATAGCCCGGCCATAAATATGGTCTATTGGCTAAACTCGGTTTCTGGGACCTCTCCACGGGTGATCCTCATCCACATAGTGGCACTTTGTGTCATCGGGTGTTTATCGCTTGTGTAATTTCCTAGTGGGGTAAAATGCACCACCACCTTAACTATGCGTTTCCTTCTTTCTTTCTTTTTGTTTTTGTTTATTTGTTTGTTAAACATTATTGTTATGTTAACGTGGCTGAAGATTAATTTCGTAGTCCAACTTTACAGCAAACCGGTCACCCCACAATTGCTTCGTTCTTTTACCAGAGTTCTTATAAGGGTCACAGACTGAAAAGATGAAAGTTTTGGATGGTGCCGGCTGAAGACACAACTGGACATGTGTGCAGGCGTGATAAATTTGCGCAAGGAGAGGTGTGACCTAAACAAGTTTCAGACTTGTGTAGGGTTCTAATCACTTTGGGACGTGAGTGCAGGGATTGGCCAACTGGGGCTGCAGAATCAGAAGTTCAAAAAATGATTCATGGCAATTCCCGCCCAAGTGATGTGATTGTATATACAGATGTCTCTGTGTTGAGGGGCAGACGAAGTGCATGGTGGTTCGTAGCGAAGGCGAATGGAAGTCGCTTGGTGCAACAAAGCCTGGCATATGCTATCACAACGTCTAGTTTGAGAATGGAGGTGGAGGCAGTCACTGCTGCCTTCCGCTGGCTTGAGAATCAGCTGTACAGACATGCCATCATTGTAAATGACTCACAGAGCATGCTGAAAAAGGTGGAGATCGGCATGCTCCGTGCAGAATGGCAAGCATAACTTTAGAGGTTCCGGGTAGTTAGTATCCTTTGTATATTTTCTCCAGGTAATGCTGGTGTGTTGGGAAATGAGCAGGCAAATAGACTGACCGGTTCTGCACCACTTGGTGGTGAACTGATGTATGATAGGCTGGATGTTGTGAGGGCCCTTTGGGAGCGAGTGAATAATGCCGAGGAACAGATAGATCATTACGGTATGAGGAGTTACAATGGGATCTGGCCGACGCTCGACACTCAGGGGAAATCAGACAGATACTGGTACGATCGAAATTTTAACTCTTCGCTTGCTGCTGGATATGTGGACGGAGCGCTTATGGGGGTGTCCCGAGTGCTGTGATGTCGTTTCTAAATTCAACATTCAACCAGCAAAAGCCACGCTTTAATCTTTGCAATGAAACCCCAGCCACTCTTTTTACATTTCACTACTAGTATTCAAATTCTAGAAGACCAAAGTCCAGAAATGGGCTAACGACCTACACTTTTCGCGGGAGTTTACAGCCGGTGAACTGAAGAAGAAGAAGAAGAAACTCAACTGTAGAAACGGGTCGGTGATTTCGGGTCACGGGCGCGAGAGAAAGTTAAATCCGTTGTGAGGTGTTACTTCCTACCTCACATCGAATGCCAGCAAACTTTGTGTTGATTTTACGGATCCTTGTGCAAGACTCCTGCCCACGTCCCCGTTTAGCACGTCGGATAATTGCTCAGATGAGCATAAACCAAGCTGGTAGGGGATCTCAGAGTTTGTGGCGCCCAGAAATGCAGTGCCTATACATCTTCTGGCTCTTCTTGTCCCAAGCTCAATGCACGGGTGGACACGTCTATCAAAACTCTTTTGGAATATGCGTAAAGTCCGCTGGCTGAATATACTACCAAATGACAACCCTCTGTTAAAACCTTTGTCAAGTGATAGAACTACTGAACGGCTGAGACTCAGTCCGAGAATAAGAGACTAGCTCGCAACATCTCCTGCGGATGGTATCTCGCAGTATAGTCCTGCTTTCGTACATCCTTTGTCAGCCCTCAGCGTGTCGCCACTAAAATCAATGTACACCACGACAATTTGCCACTAGCAGTCAGCTGATTATGCTCAACTGTCCGTCAGAAACATGTTCTGTGGCATACAGTAAAGTCTTAAATGTCCAACCGGCAAAAATCCTACTTTTTAATAGAAAGATAGATATCCGTTACCATCGGGATCGAAATGGGAAAGCCATGCCTAATGTATACCTTCCCATACTGTCCGCCTAAGTGTCCAGATGGAACCGTGTTAAAGGTATCTAACGTGCTGAAGAAGAAGGTACCTATTTGTGTGGTCACCGATGTCCTGGATCTTCAGGCAGCTCCCTTCTGATCTCCGGAGGGTGCAGCCCGTGACGAGTGGGAACTCAACATACTGATCTGAGTTTTAGCAGTCATGTACGGGACGTGAGAAATCATTGGGCAAGCCCAGGACCAGAGCGTAATGTGTCGGTTCTGCATTTATGGAAGCCTCTCTGGATCGCGGGGAATGCCCATGATCTTCTCTTGCCTTCCCTTGTGGGCCGACCAGTACATGCGGTTACCGTGGACGGGATCTCCAGCGGCAACACCACACACATAAGGCTACTCGTGTCCCAAGAAACCATCCAGGAAGCTAGCTGGATGGGTCGGCCGAAATGCGCAAATACCGTAGCTTTGCTGTAAACAGGTACAACGCAGTTACATTACTCGGACGAACAAATATAATATAAGAATAATTGCACAAACATTTTTTAAAGGAACTTCCGCCTCCTTCATCCAAGAGCTATCTATTTTCAGCCAGTCACCCCTGGTATCACACAAGGCCTCACGAAGAGGGTGCTCCTTACATCTTTTTTGCATACAACACCCTGTAACTTTCATATACAGTTGGCAAGCACGTCGAATGCACACGACTAGTGTATTCCATGTGCAGTCACATATGACTCAGGTGGCTTCATTTTTTTTCTTTTGTTCCAGTTTCTCTCTTTGGGTGCAAGATTAACGTGAGTTGTCCCAAAATAGACTCCATCACAAAAATTATCATCTACTGGTAGAGCTATCTCTGTTCAATATCTGCTGATGGCATCACCCCCCTCCAAAGCATTAAGTTCCTGCCTGGTCATTACCACCACCTCTTTTGACTGATATGTCGGCTCTATGGCTAAGTCGATGCGAACGCTTCGCTTCGTAATGCCGGGATGCCAGCTGCGAGCAATGTGCCTTGCGTTGGTTTCGACAGTGGTATCAAGAAAGCCGGCCGACCGTCCAGCAAGCAATGGCAAACTACTGGATGTAAATTGCCTAGAGAAACCACACGACAGCCAGGGGCTGTTAGGGTTGGTTCTGCAACGTCCTGTAAAGGATACGCAACTAACTTCTGACTGATAGATGCAAGCCAGGCTTCAGTCAAAAATTATTCGCAGGTATTTAATTAACCCAGGTGAATCATCAGGCTAGAAATGGTGGTGGCGTTGGATTTGACACAATATTGAAATATACATTGATAATGATAGATGAGAATGCTATTGCACTGGGCCCAAAAAAAATAGAACAGACCAAAAACACACGTAGCAGAGAATTTGGTGAAAAGGTATGGAAGGCATGGGGTCAGCTGCAAGAGGTATCAAATAGTAGAGCGGTATGGTCTACGTTGATCTATCGGGGGATAAATGGTAAAAGAAGAAGAAAAACGGCAGCGTATTAGCCAGTCTTTCACATTCCACTGTTTTGCTGGCGGCAGGGAACTTGGTTGTTTTCTCTGACCATTAGAAGGGTGCATACTTGTATCACCAAGAAGCTCATCTTCAAGTCCTTATAAACGTGATTCTCAAAAGCCATAGTGCATATGGTTAAGCCTTTTTATATTCTCGAAACTTTGTGGCCGGGCCAACTTCGGTCCTCTCACATGCATTTCTCTTGTTGTCTGTTAATATCTAGAAAACAGTGTGTAAAACGTTGATCATCTCGTCCCACTAAAACCCCACGGCATGTGCCGCGCCCACCAACCACCCGCCCTGGAATGTTGACATTATAAACTTGGTACAGTAGGATCCGTTGACTTCTAACGGCAGATCTGGATTTGGGTTGGGTGAAAACCAGATCCTTTATTTTGTCACTCTTACTGAACCGCCCACATAGCGCTGTGTGGTAATGTATTACCCACCCCCCCCCCCCGCTTTTGTTTTCCCAGCTGAAAAAGTTCATTTGCATCTCTGCCTGTTACTCCTTTTGAAGATTTTAACATCACAAAGTACCTCGTCGATTATGTGGTTGCGGAAGGAGAATCATCTATCTCCATAATCTGCGAACTCCAACAGCGTGTATCAATACCCGTGCCGATACCCATCCATAAAATAAAAAAATTCTCCCGCGTCGTCTCCCATTATATCTTTTACAACGAATCTTTCCAGTTGTCACATTTTTCAGCCTCCCTCTTCTCATAACATGGCCACACACACACAAATTGACTGCCTCCTTCTGATCTTTGTGTTAGGTTGTCTTTAGGCCCTTACCTCTTTTCTAAGGTTACTCCCTTTTGATGTGCAAGCAATTGTGAGCATGCTTCTGTAAAACCACGTCTCTTGAGCTTCAAGAAATGCTTTGGCTTGTTTATTAACTACTCAGGATTCACTCACAGCCATATGTTAATATTTTAGTCATACATGTTTAACCATGAACATGGTCACTATGTTAACATCATACACTTCTTATCTCACCCACACAGAACTACAGATTACTTTGTAAATGTGTTGTGGTGTCCCAGTATAACTGCGCTTTATGGTTGGATGGGGTTTCCGAGGTTTGTAGCTGTTTGATTCTGATTCTTGAGATGTTAATTCTATGGAATGCAAATCTGGAGGGAAAAAACAGAGGGGGAAAGTGGGGTGGGGGGGGGTGGGGGGGGATCTCCTGTATTAGAGATCACAAACTAGGATCAGGACATACTGGCCTACATTTTGGAGAACCAATCATGTGCGGTATATCAAATCATACTATGCTCTTCTTGCTAAAGTTTCAAGTATTGCCAGGCTTCATAGCTTTGAAGCTCATTACCAGCATTACACAACAGACTGGTTCCTGCATGTGGCAAGATAAATCATATTCTCATTGTCAAGTGCTTTCTACATCCTGTGATCTCCATCATCATGTATCACTTCTTAGGTTTACCAGACAAAGGAAGTAAGGGCAACTGGAGTGACATTAACCACACCACCTACTGAGTGCTGATTGGTCTATTAAAAAAAAAATACAGATCTATGCCAAAAAAACTGCCAACTATTTTCAGAATATTTGCTTGTATAAACAGTGCTGATGACTGTATGCACTACTGTGATTCCTGTAAAAAGATCAGTTTATGTGTTTAGCATATATTATATGAGGTGTGATCAAAGGAAAATCCTCCCTAATGGCTGTATTATAAACACTGACAGGTATTTAGCAAGCATTGCCAAATTAAACAAAGTATCAGTTAGGAAGCTAATATGCACCTGGCATCAATAAAAGTAGTCACCAAAGGCATTCAAACATTAATCTCACTGCTTAGCAAGATGGTGGATAGCATCAAGAAATAACTGAATACTAGTGATATGTTTGTGTCAGTTTGGAAGTTCTTATTATCAGCCTTCCGTTGCCAGGCAAACGATCTTTTGTTCGGACCTTAAAAAAAGCTCTGAAAGGATGATTTCACACGGATGCAGAGGTCAATGAGCAGTCATCAAATGGTTAAATGTACAACCTATTTATTTTCACATTTTTGAAATCCTTCTACTTCTATATACAGTAGAACCTCGCTTAACGAGCACCTCTCATAACGAGTAATTCGCATAAGGAGCAAAACAAATTGTAAAAAAATGACTTGCTTAACGAGCGACGTTTCGCATAACGAGTGGCGAGGAGAGGGGAAGTTCCGGATTGTGCTCATGTTACATCAGTCTGTGTTTAGCACTCGTTCCAGTAGCATCATAGTGTCGCTTGTGATCACACATTTTCCAAAACTTGTGTTATTTTGTGATTTATGTACATGAATCCTCCAGGCCTAGAAGATGACCTCTCTGAAGAATTTTAATTCATCAAGATCCAGTTTCTGCCTCCCAACACCACTCCGGTACTCCAGCCTATGGACCAGCAAGTTTTTTTAACTTTAAGAAGCTCTACACTAAAGCACTTTTCGAGCATTGTTTTCAGGTGACTGAAGGGACCAACCTCACTCTCAAAGAGTTTTGGATAACCCACTTCCAAATCGTTGCCTGCCTCAAGATGATCGACAAGGCGGGGGAAGGGGTTACCAAGAGAACCCTAACTTCTGCTTGGAAGAAGCTTTCACCGGAGAGCGTTGTCGATTTGTGACTTTGAGGGGTTCGAGACAGTACCTGTGGAACCTATAGTCAACGAGATTGTGTCTTTGGCCACTAACATGGGATTTGAGGTGGATAACAGTGATATCGAACAGCTTATGGAAGAGCACAGCCAAGAGCTGACCACACAAGAGATTATGGAGTTGCATTGTGTATCACAGTAAGAAGTTTTGGGGGAAAGTGTGTCAGAGGAGGAGGAGGTAACAGAAAAGCAACAATCTTCTGGCAAAATAAGAGAAATCCTGAAAGCATGGCAAACTGTTGCATCTTACATAGGGATGCATCACCTAATAAGGAAGTAGCTATGCGCGTTGCTAATTTATTTAATGATAATGCTGTGTAGCATATTCACGAAATTTAGAAGCATCGGCAAAAACAAATGTCTCTGGACATCTTTCTAGTAAAAAAAATAATTAGCTATGTATCATAGGTATTTCGACTTCTTTTTCTACAAATCGAATTCGCATTCCAGGTGGGTTCGTTCCGCATTCAAACAAAAGATAAAGATGATTCACTCTCCTTAAACGATATGTATATAATTTTCTTTGAATAAACGTCATATATAGCATTTTGTGAGTATTTTTTTCGATATGGAACACATTATCCTATTTTACATTAATTTATATGAGAAAAAATGTTTCGCATGAGTGTTTCGCTTAACGAGTATGATTCTGGAACGAATTATGCTCGTTAAGCGAGGTTCCACTGTACTGTGAAAGTGTTCTAAATCACCCAAACTGTATCTAATCAGGATTCTCCATTCATTAATCTTCATTTACTGTACTTCTTTTTCATATACTGAGCTGTTTACACATAGGGAGAGAAACAGAGGGAATAAATATTTTACTCCTATATTGTATTCATGATTAATCAAATCATTTCACAATGTGCCAATTAAGCAACAACAATAAAGAAAACGAACAACACAGTTCTCTACAAAATTGGGCAGGCATTTTGCTATGTAGAGGCAGGAATTCCACCCATGGCCTTATTTGGTCTCCATTGCATTGGTCTAAACTCTGCAGTCCTATTTTGGGGTGGGGGGAGAATAGACCCACGGCTTCCTAACAAGCATGTCGTGAAAGTCGACTAATTAGGGTTTTCCTCTCTAATGTTGGAGCGCATCTGCCTGAGAGGCGAGGAACCAACAGTCTGCACAGCAGTGAGCCAGATCTGTTGAATGGATGTTCACATAAAGCTCAAGTTCTGGAATTAGACTAAAGTACAGAAAAAGTTGAACAACCAGAACCTTCCACTGTTTACAGCCGGTAAATGCTAAGGAGAGGAAACACACGATCACCAGGCTGGATAGCAAGCCTGCTAGTCACTGTACGCCATCTTCTTCCTACGCTTCAGCGTTCTTAACCCTTGAGGTTTATTGCTGCAGAAATCCTCCACATCCATTCATTTCTGTGACTGGCCTTCTCTTTTCATTTAGTGACTGCAAGGGTTTTTAGGTCTGCCTTTATATTATACCTCCACAATCTTTTTGGTCTAAGTGGTGGTCTATTCCCATTCAACTCTTTTGCATATGCAGTTTTTTGTCTCTGCTATCTGCCATTATTCCTATGCCACAACAACTGCAGACTGTTAGCCCTCATGATGCCAGTAATTAGTGGTGATTTTAATGTCTTAACTGCTTCTCACTTTCCATTCTCCGCTGTTTAAATCTTGATGTGTCCAGACTGCACAACTATAACCCCCCCCCCCCCCCCCCCCCTATCCCCCCCACCCCACAATATCAACAAGTAACACATCTGATTGTCTGCTATTAAACTGTTCCTAAATCAAAATGCTTTGGAAAGTAGTAGGAACCCTCATGAGGCAGCATGTCCACAATTGCATCCACATCAACCCTGAAGCCAAGCCATGCCTGGGAATAGAATGAGTTTGTGTCCACTTGTGGTGCTTTGAATTCTACTGCTTTTTGACTGTCTCTGTTGCCTTGGCAAAGAAAAACAAACAAATATACAGATAAATATCAGTAACATAGAATTGTGATGACAATAACAATATATATGCTTGATAAAAATAAAAATTTGACTTTCTCATTAAATTACAAAATGATGTAATGACAATAGTTACAAAGTGACTGTCTGATGCAAGCACTAAACTTACTATATGACATAAGTGATTACAGGACAAAAGTTACAATATGACTACCTGACATAATATGTAAACTGACAACCTGATATAAGTAACAAAATGACTACTGGATAAAAGTAACAATTTGACTACCTGATTTAAATCATAAATCATCTCATCTTGATCCTCTGGTACCTTGCTGTGTTGAGGTGAAGTATAATTTACGAAAAAGTGACCGTTTGTGCGATCCGTAAATAGTGATTCCTAGAGACTCTGTTAGCTCCTCTGTCCATAACTTGCATGTTCAGCCTCTTCTTCGCTTCCCACCTGACCTGTACATCATTGTTTGCTGTGGTATGCTGTTTGCTGACATCCGCCTTTGTTGTCTTCTGAGGAAACCCAGAGCTGCCGCTACTTCCCATTCTCCTTCGGATTTCACCATTTCCAATTTTATCTCGTTATATTAGAATCCCTTCGTAGGAATCTCATTTCAGTAATAATTTTTCTTTTCTCTCTTCTGTCATTGTCCAGGTCTAGCATTGGTAGCAAAAGGTTTACCAAAAAAAAAAAAAGGATTGTGTCATAAAGTGCTACTTTGGTTTTTTACTGACACTTGTTTGTTTCTTAGTTTTGGCACCATTTGCCCAATGAGTTGGTTTGCTCTGTTACATCTTCATCAATCTCATCTTCTGTTTAGCTGGCTGCTTATTTTAAGCTTCCTAAGTATTTTATATTTTTGGTTTGTTTCAGAGGGTTTTCTGTAAGCTAGATATTTATTGTTTTGTCTAATTTGGCTATGGTCATGATCTTTGTTTTGTTGATGTTAATTTTCATGTTATGTTCTTTAAACATTTAGTTTAAATATTTTATATAGTCTTGCAGCTCTGTTTATAAATAATAAATTACCTCATAGAAGTAAGAAATTGACACGATAAAAGTAACAATTTGATTACCCGATGTGAGTAGTAAACTACCTGAAAAAAATGCATTAAAAATTGATCGCCTGATATTAGTAACAATCTAATATCTTGAAACGGATTTCCTGGTGTGGGTTCTGGGGCCCCATGTGAGGGAAAAAAGAACAGATCCACTAACTTCCTAACAAGCATGTCACAAGAGTCGACTAATTAGGAGTTTCCTACAAAGACAGAATGCATCTGCCTGAGAGGCAAGAAACCAACAGTCTGCATACAAAACTCAAGTTCTGGAACAAGATTAAGTCCAGAAGTGGATGAACAACCAGAACTTTGCTCTGGAGTTTACCACTGGTGAATTGAAAAAAAAAAAAAAATGGATTAGTGTAAAAACTTTGTTTTTTAGCAGTATTTAACACTGAAAGTTGTCTCTGACAAAGTGGTAATAATTTCATCATCATCATTATCAATTTCCACTTCTGCCGTTGAGCGTTGTGGTGGGGGGGGGGGGGGGGGGGGGGGGGGAGGAACAGTTTGTGATCCACTGCTTGATGGTGACCTCTTGCTTTCACTTCAGACCCTTTCATGCGTAGCACTGTATTGGTAGTTGTCATCATTACTAGACGACCAAACCATTTGATTTTCTGTTTATCAATTAATTTGATGCAAAGTGTTATTCCTACAGTCTAATAATATCACATCTAACTTTGTCTCGGATGGTTAAGTCGGTGGCTTTTCTCCGGCATCTCATTTCATAGGTGTTAATTTTACATAGACTTTGATAATGTCCAAGTCTGGCACTGGTAGCAAAGTGTTTACATAAATATGCTGGTTATAATCTGTTTCTTGGCGCTCACACTTATGTTTGGATTTCTTAATAACGGTGTCAGTATGTAACTGCAATGACTTGTTGGAATCTTGTTTCTATTTCCTGATCTATTCTCCGGTGCTCTGAGAATATACTTCCAAAATATTTAAATTCTTTAACTAGCTTTAAATAATAATTTTATAGTACATAAAAATAAAAGGGTCTTTTAGTTTTTCCTTTTAAAACATAGTTTGATCTAAAAATAACAGATAAAATAAATTGTTACTTTGTCCTTCTTTCACATAAACACGGCCACACATGTAATACTGTTACTGATTAAATTTAATCATGTGTACCATATAGATACTGAAAATTTTGGCTAAAATCATAGAACAATAACATAAATAGATTAACTTCTGTCCAATTTGTTTTATGGTGAAAATAAGTGCTAGCATAGATAGAAAATTAGCTCTGTTATTTCACGGACTGTCTTCTTCTTCTTCTTTTCTTCAGCATTCGGAGCCTGTGAGGTTCACTGCTGCAGATATCACCCACCTACATTCATCTCTGTGATTCCAAATTCGAAGCTCAGATATCTGTTTCATGATGGAAATTAGGTTTCACAAGGGTGGAGTTGTCAGCCGCATGATGTTTAATGCTTATAACAACTGGTTTTCTCAGGTCAGTTTGACTAAACTTACCAAAAAGAGACTGAACAACTGTCATTCCTCGTTTCCCCTGCACAGGAAAAAAATAAATTTAAAATGAATTTCTGTGATCTTTAAAATAAAAAACAGAAATACATTTTCAATATGAAATTATAATTAAAAAAAAATAAAATAAAATACAATTTCTAAGAACGGCTTGCAATATTTTTGTGTTGCAAACATTGAAACAATTTCCTGTCTGTATGTAAACATATTTTACTGCACATTCTTCCAGTGTCTATTATATACTACTGATCGATCCTGTAAAATAAAATTCCATAACACAGATAAACAACGCCCACATTACTTTCTGACACAAACACACAACCAAAGATGTGTGTGGAGCCAAATGTTCTTGACTTATGTTTTAATTTGCAGATACATAAATATAAAACACAATGTTTTTCAAATGTTTTTGTTTTATTACTGTTATTTAATTACAGATACACAGAGAAACAGTTTATTTATACTGTAAAAAAAAAAAAGAAACGCATAGTTATCCGATCGCGTGTTTTTATTAGTTTGTAAATAAAATATCGTAATCTGGTATGTGAAAAGCAGAATTAAATGTTGTTTACTGTGTCCAGTGAACATGTGGGCGTGAATTGCATGGGTTTTTGTAATCATAACAACGCAGTAATCAATTGTGTTTAAGACCATATTTGTGAGCATAGCTAGCGATGTGCGCACGAGAAAGCAACACAATTTGCGGTGAACACTATTCACTGTCTACGCAATTGAAACCCTATAAAAGGATAACGCTACACCAAAGTGATCAGTTCATTTTTAAACAGTCACAAATGGCGCCTCAGTTGATAAATTTAAGATTATTGCTATTGGCCGATTGCAAACAGGAGAAAGTCAAAGTCAGGTTGCCAGGCATCTAAACGTGCATCAGAGTATCATCAGCTGACTTTGGCACCGGTTCCAAGCCACTGGTTTAGTTAAAGACCGACATCGCAGTGGACGACCCTCAACTTCGTAAGCTCAGTCAGAGACAGGTTTACAACAGCTTCCTCAACTGCACAGGCATTGCCTCCAGAGTGTTATGTGTCTGATCAAACTGTTTAGAACAGACTGCATGACATTGGATTTTGGGCTAGATGACCACACCGAGAACCCGTCCTTACGCATCACCACCGCCAAAATCGACTTCTTTGGGCCAACCAACATTGTCCCTAGGCAAGTGACAATCAGTGGAGACCTGTATGGTTCAGTTACGAATCTTTATTTTTGTTTCAGTGTCATGATAGACGGCGTAGGGTCTACTATAGACGAAATGAAGGTTTAACCCAAAATTATGTTGATGAAGCTCTGCTGCACGGTGGTGTGGTGTAATGGTATGGGGAATAATCAGTTACAATGGAAGGAGTTAATTGGTGCACATTGAAGAAAGCTTGATTGCGCAACGTTACGTCCATAGAATTCATGGACCACATGTCCTTCCATTTTGGGATGCCAACAGTTATCCTTTTCAACAGGACAACGACAGACCCCATTTTGCACAGCTGACCACGCAGTTCCTGACTGCTAATAACATTAAAACCCTTCCCTGCCTGCTGACATGAGTCCCACTGAGCACCTGTGGGATGAGCTGCAAAGATGTGTTTGTTGCCGAAATGTTGTTTCAGCCAATGGTCGTGATCTGTTCCAGGCACACCAGGAAGAGTGGGCTGCCATCCCACAGTACCACATCAGGCATCTGATCACATCCATGCCCAGGTGATGCTAGTCATTGATCCAAGCAAGAGGAGGCCACACACACCACACTAACGGATAAGGCCTACGCTTAAAACCTAACGTGACCCAGATGCCAAAAAAGCTGTCACTTGATTGGTGGAACCCTAAGGTATTCTTGTGTGAAATTTGAGTAATTGCTCTTACTGCATTACAAAGATGCAGAATGTCAAAATTGTGAGTATGTTTGTTCTTTTCAGTAACCATGCGTTTCTTTTTTTTTTTTTGAACAGTATACTTTCTAGTATGCTTCTAAACATAAGAATGATGCAGATAAATGTGAGCATCTCCTTTAAAGCTTACACTCATGTAATAATAAAACTCAAGTTTCAGGACGACAGACCCCATTTTGCACAGCTGACCACGCAGTTCCTGACTGCTAATAACATTAAAACCCTTCCCTGCCTGCTGACATGAGTCCCACTGAGCACCTGTGGGATGAGCTGCAAAGATGTGTTTGTTGCCGAAATGTTGTTTCAGCCAATGGTCGTGATCTGTTCCAGGCACACCAGGAAGAGTGGGCTGCCATCCCACAGTACCACATCAGGCATCTGATCACATCCATGCCCAGGTGATGCTAGTCATTGATCCAAGCAAGAGGAGGCCACACACACCACACTAACGGATAAGGCCTACGCTTAAAACCTAACGTGACCCAGATGTCAAAAAAGCTGTCACTTGATTGGTGGAACCCTAAGGTATTCTTGTGTGAAATTTGAGTAATTGCTCTTACTGCATTACAAAGATGCAGAATGTCAAAATTGTGAGTATGTTTGTTCTTTTCAGTAACCATGCGTTTCTTTTTTTTTTGAACAGTATACTTTCTAGTATGCTTCTAAACATAAGAATGATGCAGATAAATGTGAGCATCTCCTTTAAAGCTGACACTCATGTAATAATAAAACTCAAGTTTCATTATATTTTAACACATACTGGCTTTCCTGAACCTTTAATTATAAAACCAGAGCTTTTACAACATTACAATAGAAACATAAAACAGACATGGAGATATCTTTGAGAGATTACACTAGAGAAATTTTTCTACGACAACATATCTTAATGACCACACACCCCACCACACGTACATGAGTAAAAACTCAAATATTTAACAGTAAGCAAGGACCACAAATAACATCTTTACACCTGTCTTTAGTGAAACAGGGGATAGACAAACATGACCAATAACAAAATAAAGGACAAGTGTGTCTCGTGTACTTACTTGCTTTATGTCTTTGTCTTGAAACTCTCTAGAATACCTAGCAAATATAAATCCAACAGGTAACAATCAACAAATAAGACACAACAAAATAAAACACAACTGTGTGGTCTGCATAACCACATTTTTGCATTTTCTATATATATTTTAAATAAACTTTTATATAGCAGGACAAATGGTTGCACAATATTCTTCTTATAGTCCATGCCATGTGGCATTGGTAGTCATGTATATCTATAACCTTCTGTCTCGGGTACTCTTAATCAGTTCTGACACTGATGATCTTTCATGCCGTTGATGTCAAACAGAGATGAAACGCCTTAGAAGAGCTGCAGGAGTTTCAAGGAAAGACAGAATACAAAATCATGAAATCAGACGAATGCTAAGAATAAAGCCAGTCTTACAGGTCATCAAAAAACAACAAATGAAGTGGTTTGGACACCTAACAAGAATGCCCTGGTACTATCCGCCACAGCGAGCCACACTAAAACGTTACAACAGGTATGAGCGAGTTGAAGACCTCAGAAAATATGGAGTGATGGCATTAAGAACAGCCTTACAGAAATGAACATCAGTCCTAATAGTGCTCTTGACAGAGCTTATCAACGAACATTACATCTCCCCCCGACACTTTGATGAGGTACAAGGTGGAAGAGAAGAAGAAGAAGATGTCAAACTATCCAACAACTTCTCTCTCAGCCTCTTTCCTCCTCATGTATGTAAAGCTTACACAGTAAAACATTGTTAACACAAATTCCAAGGGACCCAAAAAAATAAAGTATACAAACATTTTTTTTTAATTAAAAAAAAATGTGATAACCAGAGACTAAAAGATTCATTATGTACAATATAATTATTGCTAGGACCAACATTTTTTAAAATGTTAATCAAGTGTTCATCTTAAGCAGGTTTGTGTTAAGGAGGTTTTCTACATTTATGAAACAAGAAATCAATAACATTCTAGGTACAATAATTTTCAACAGAGCTCTTCTGGGTTTGCTCCCTGGTGGTAACAGGGTTGCCATTTTCCCCAAGAGTACTTCTCTAGCTCATCTTTGTTTCATAAATATACATTTGCTTAAGTATATTAAAAAAAAAACAACAACCATGTTCCCATGATTATTTTCATCATCAGCAGGTCCTTTACAGAATGTCACTCTTGTCATGGCATGCCTGAAAATATCTCTTTCTCTAGCCAACAGCCCCGTGTTCTTCCATATCTAAATCATCCTCAATGTCTTGTATCCTCATTCACATAGGTCTGCCTCTGCATCATTTTCTTCAGCTTCTGGGACAGGATGCTGTCTATGAGCCCGTTCTCCTTGATGCTCAGATCATGTAGGATGTCAGTGTTTTTCTTATTCTCAGTCCATGGTATTCTAAGAAATGTTCTGTAATTTTCCCGCTTATACATATCTGCGATCAATTTCAGAGGCTGTGTACATCACAATGGAGGCTGTAATTTTGACAAGAAAAACAACAAAAGCTGCCCAAGGTCACTTCTGGAGTCTTTTACACCTCCATGTGGAGCAGAGGCTCTCAACCAACAGCCAAAAGCCTCCTTTTCCTTGCTGTTTCCTGCAGTTCCATCCATCAAATCCAGATTATTCAGCTTTACCTCTAATAGGTCTCATTATATTTTTGCTTCCAATAATTCCAAAGTAAATACTATTAATAGGTTTAATCTTTTAATCCCTCTTGACTAAGTTTTCACCATAAGTGTCTCACATTAGTAAATCCATCATAGAATTTTAGAGCTTCCACCCCCCCCCCCCCTTTTTCAGTAAAGATTATAAATATTTGTAATTTATCAATCACTGTTTTAATTGTTCTCGGTGTATAAACAGTACTTATTTTTAACTTCTAATATATGCCCTGTGGGTTCCCGCGGCCCCATCATGGGGAAAACAAGTATAGACCAACTGCCTCCCCTACAAGCATGTTGTAAAAGTCGACTCATTTGGAGTTTCCTCTAAGTCGGAGTGCATCTGCCTGAGACAAGGAACCAATAGTCTGCTGCAAATAAGCTAGATCTGTGAAATGAATGTGCAGAACTCAGGTTCTGGAACAAGACTGAAGTCCAAAGGTGGACTAACAACCATAACTTTCTGCCCGAGTTTACAACTAGTGAAAGCGAAGAAAAAGAAGTAGAAAAAGTTTTAAAAGTTTTTACCTCACTGAAGTTGACCGCTGACTTATTACAATTTTTGTTGGTAGTTTCCCCTTCTTCAGGGGAACAAACTCTTGGTACTGGTTTTGAGTCTGTGCAGCAAACTGCTTCTGTTGTTTCTGACGTCCCTTATGTTTGAATAATGATGAAGCCTCTGCCTGGTGATTCTTAATCCACATTTTCAGTGACCTATATTAAAATATATTCAAAATCAAATGTCTGAATTTAAAACAAAATTGCTATGGGCATCATGTGTATATGGGTGAGTATGGGGAGATAATCTAAAAGCCTACATTTGCAAAATCACCATTTGAGAGATGAGATGCCTGAGAAAAGCCCCTAACTTAGCCATCAGAGAGTCTTCTTCTTCTTCATGTTCACCAGCTGTACACTCTGGTGGAAAGTTCTGGTTGTTCGTCCACTTCTGAACTGCAGTCCTGCTCCAGAACCTGAGTGTTGTGTGTGCATCAGTTTTACAGATCTGATTCACTTGAACGCAGACTGTTGGCTCCTTGCCTCTCAGGCAGATGCACTCTGACTTCAAAGAAAGCTCCCCAATTAGTCGACTCTTACGACATGCTTTTGGGTAGGCAGAGGGTCTATTCTTGTTTTCCCTACAATGGGGCCCCGGAACCCATACGGGGAGCCATCGGAGAGTGAATAATGATACTATCAGACAGACTGTGGAAACAACAGCTTGCTCTAGATTCACCAGGAAACAGCAGATTAAGTGGTTAGGTCCTTTCTTTAGAATGTAGCAACATCAAATACCATCACAGGCAATATATATAACAAGATCCGCTACAAGATGAAAAGGAAGGCTACAAAAAAATGGACCAACAACATTAAAGACACTTTAGTTTTTCACGGCATGACAATAGCCAGTGTCAACCAGCACGCAATGGATTGCAAATTTTCCTTCTATGTGATACTTAAAGGTAGGTGGTTTATGATGATGATTATGAGAAAATCAGGAGGCTGCAAGTTTGGCATTAAATAGGGTTAGGGATACACATCCTCTTGACTACTTAAAAGGGCAGCCAGTAGATCAGGAAGCAATCTCACACCACTTCACCTGGTACATTCAATTTCAGCAAACCTTCCATTAGTCACATTTTACGACATACATGAGAGGAACTGTGAGTTGTATTCAAAGCATGATAGAACTACAGCTCGTGTCTACCTAAATCATTCCTTCCCGGCCAACACTCACTTGAGAAATGGTGTGACTGTGTATAAGTTCAGGTTCTGACCCACGGCTTCCTTCAGGGTCTGGTCACCCTTGTGTGTGGGAAGAGCATCTATTGGAAACCACTGTATATCCTGTAAAACATTTAGGCATTAAAAAATAAGTTAGCTGTGTGTCCTTTACAGGATGTTGCAGACCCAACCCCAGCACTTCTTGGCTGTTTATGGTTTTACTAGATAATTTTACATTCAGTAGTATGCCAACGCCCTCTGAAAGGTCAGCTCTTGATACTGCTGTCAAAACAAATGCAATGCAGTCTGCTGCCAACTTGCCTGCAGCTGGGATCTCAGCATTCTGAAGCACAGTTGCAATGCTTACTAAGCCACACATGCCAAAATTTGGCCCTAATATGAAACAAAGCACAGATTAATTTAATGAATTCTTCTTCTTTGTTCACCGACGGTAAGTCTTGGCTGTTTGTTTATTTGAACTTTGGCTTTGTGCCAGGACCTGAGTTTTGCTTGCCACTCAAGACATATGCACTCCATTTTTGAAGAAAGCTACTAATTAGTCAACTCCTACAACATGCTTGTTAGGGAGGCAGTAGGTCTACATAACAGTCTTGACTGATAAATTAATTTGTTAGATATCTTTTCCCCACTGTAAAAATTATAATTATCCAAGATGTCAGAGTGGAGCTATTTTATGCAGTCTAAAGAATTAATAGGCAGGATATATATATATATATATAATATATATATATATATATATATATATATATATATATATATATATATATATATATATATATATATATATATATATATATATATATTTTTATAAAAATCAATGTTTGTGTGTTTGTTTGCCCCCTATAGACTCGGAAACTACTGAACTGATTTAGCTGAAATTTTCAGGATATGTTTGTTTTGATACCGGATGTTGAAACATCATGGTTTCAAACTCAACCTGTCACTGTTAGAGATAGGTGACCACAATTTAAGCCATAATATTCGAAACTAATATTTATATTCTTAGTGATTTCTAATTATAGCCACGTTAGTAATTGCGCATGCGCCGCGGTAGTCACAACGCAAGCCTTCCACCATTCGCCGGCGAGTTACGTGCAGCCAACGCCTTCTCTAATACATAGAGTAGGTCGTGGTACAGCAAACAAGACTATCTCTATATATGTGTAGGCAGTGATTGCCACAATAACCATATTAAACACGATTTCTATTTTCTGTTTTTTTTCCAAACAACCTTCGATCGGGGAGAAAAGGGGATGGGGGGAATTAAAGGACTATCTCGACGTCGGCGCAGACATTGACTGCGACATTAACTTCATTAACCGTGTTAGACACGTGCGATTTCTATTGTTGTGTCGTTTCATTAATATATCTGAAATATCTGTCTATGAGAAAACAATTGCCTGCAGTTTTGAGTTGTTATAATTGGGACACAGTATTACACATCTAAAATAGTTTAGTTCTCTTTTGGTTACTCCGATGAAGTGGCTGCTTGGTCGAATGGCTAGAACACTGGGCTCCTGTGCGGGAGACCAGGGTTCGAATCCGCAGTAGTTAAGTTTTCTTTTTTTTACCCCGGACTAAAATAATATCCTTATCTGCACTGTCGTGATGACAGCACTAGCCATGTTGCCCTTAATACTAAAAAAAAAAAAAAAAAAAAAAAAAAAAAGACAAGTAAATAATTAAAATATTTGATAATTAAATTTGATCATTTCGCATACTTATGATTTCATTTATAAACTTTCCGATTGCATGGTTACGCTGAAATTTCATAGCTTTCCATTTATTTTCATTTAGATTTAGTTATTTTATCTGCGTTGGAATTTTAAGCTGTGCTATTTACCATAGCGTTCATTTCCTAATTATGGTGTATTTTTCCTGTTTTCATTTGCTTTTTAAATTTTTTTTTCCTCCCAACTACTTCAGTGAGGGAAAGAGTAGTCGGTGAATTGGGGGGGGGGGGGGGAGGAGGCAGAGGGGGGTGGGGGGGGGCAAACTGTTTACTGAGAGAGCTTTGAGTCACAGTAACTGCTTTACCCACTTAAAGTAGCAGCAGCAGTAGTAGTTGTGGTTGGGCTGTTACACCGTAGTGCTCTCATGTGAAGACCGCCGGTAAGGTTATGGCGCTCTTCTGTCGGGAAGCGAAATTATACGTCCTAACCTGACCAGTCTGTGGCGACAGCACTAGCCATGCGGAACCAAATCTTCTGGCTCACGACTCTCTGTCTACTCCGATGGTAACACAGATAGCAGTGACATTATTTTAGCTACTGTGGTGGTGGTCGTGGTAGTAGTTGTACTGGTACTTGAAGAATGATGTGGTAAATATTACACTAGCTCCATTCACTACCTATTACAATTCCTGCTCCCCATTTTAGTCCGGATGGACAGGGATGTCAATGTCAGTTACAGCAACAACAAAAATATCGCCAGGTAATGATTTTCAAATCCTTCGAAGAGGGAAAGAACAGTAGTCGGTGGAAGAGGGGAAGGGAGGGGGTAATGACTTAAATTTAAGAGAACTTAAAGAGCTTTACACGTGTTCTCATTACTTAATTTGTTTATATTTTACTAACGCTACCTCCGCTGTTCTATTTTTTACGACTTACTTTGTTATTTACAAGTACAGTTGTAGCTTTACTTCCGTCCCCTATAAAAATACAAGCAGCTTTAGCATGTGGTAACCAAATAACCATTTTTGTTACTGTGCTAATATCACAATTTAAACGACCACTAATATAAAGACACAATTATATGGTGCGTGTTCTAAAGTTGGAAAACCAGACTATCTCTATATCTGTGCAGAGAATGATTGCAACATTACCTATATTAGACACGTCCGATTTCCATTGTCTTTCTTTTCCAAAAAACCTTTGATGAGGGAGAGAGTAATAGGTGGATTTAGTTGTGGGTGGTGGTGGTGGGGGGGGGGGGGGGGGGGGGGAAGGGGTCAAAGACTATATCCATATCTGAGCAGACAATGATTGTATTAGACACGTGCGATTTCTATTTTCTTTCATTTCTATTTAGCCAAACTATGCCACAGCAACGCGTGGCCAGGTACAGCTAGTATAATATATATATATATATATATATATATATATATATATATATGTTGTTGTTATCGATCCAGCGGCGCATGAGCTTTCGCCCTTTGGCCCAATGCCATGTAGTGGAATTTGCATGTTTTCACAAGCTGTTCTATATATATATATATATATATATATATATATATATATATATATATATATATATATATATATATATATATATATGTGTGTGTGTGTGTGTGTGTGTGTGTGTATAAATTAATTAAAAGTTGCGTATCCTATACAGGATGTTGCAGAACCAACCCCATAATTTTTTGGCTGTTGTGGTTTTCCTAAGCAAGTTTACATCCAGTAGTTTGCCATTGCTTTCTGGTCGGTCAGCTTCTCGATAACACTGGATAAAACCAAGGCATTATAAAGCGCATTCGTAATGCCAAAGCCACAGATGCTGACACATACATACATTAAAAAAAAGGAAAATTAAAATAAGAAAAATAAACATGCTATTCTGCCATGATAAAATAGAAGAAATAAACAAAAATGTAACAACTATACAGAAAAGTGCCCCACAGAGAAAAAGAATTATATAAAGGATGTCTCATTTTATATCTACTTCACGCCTGTGAGTCACTTCAATGATCAGGACAATCTCTACTTAGCAGTTATCATCTGTACAGTTTGCAGTAAGTATGAAATTTCTTAGTATGAGTTATACATAACATTAAATTACAAGCCGCAGTGACATAGTGGCTATATGCCTGCTTGCCGGCCCAAGAGTTATGACTTCCTACAGAGGCAGACTTATTTGTCAACAATGACCTTGGCTTCCAGGTCAAATCAGCCTAAAATGGGTATCAGGGAAGTAAAGGCAGCCAGCATCATGCTGACATCACCCACTGTGTGCCATATACAAAATTGGAGTATAGCATCACTGATATATATAAAAAAAAAAGATTACTTATTAAACTACACAAGAAATTTTAATGTACCCTGATTTCTCTTCGTGTCTTTGGCAAGAAGGTTGTATTCAGCGGAAGACCAGCAACAATGTACAAGCGATTGATTTGTTCATTGGTGGACTTTTCCAGGTATTCCTCTTCATCTGCATAGGGCTTAATGTCAAATCCAGTTTCCTCCAACACCTGACAAGTCAAACAACATTTCTGAAACCACAAACCTCTGAAAATCAAGCATTAAAGCAATAAGTATAACTGAGAAATGTGTTTCTTGAAGGACCGCCTCATTTGCTCATCTGTCTGAGCACAGTATTCTTTATATTGTATTAAGAAACCAGATTTCTGCTGCCAAAAGATGTTTCTTCATTTTGCCATCTACCAACACAATTACCATCTTCATCAATCAGGAGGTCCTATATAGAACATCGCTCTCATCATGGCACATCTAGAAGTCTCTCTATCTCCAGCCTGTTTCCAGCTCCATGTGCTTTTTTAAAAGTTAGTCGCGTATCATTTACAGGATGTTGCATTGGGAGGGGGGGGGGGCTATTGTGAGATTTCTAGGAAGATTTTACGTTCAATAGTTTGCCATTGCTTTCTGAATGGTTAGCTCTCGGTACCACTGAGAAAACCAACGCAAGACAAATCGCCTGCAGCTGGGATTAAATCTGGCACGCCGGCATTATAAAGCGTGTTCGCAATGCCAAAGCCACAGAGGCCAACGTGCTTTCTTAGCAAATGCATATTCAATATCTTGTATCTACTTTTGCGGAAGTCTGCCTCGTTTTACAGAAACTGTACCATTCATCAGTTCTCTCCAGGTCACCACGATATTTAACATGACCAAAATGCCTCAGCTTTCAGGACAGGATGCTGTTTATAAGTCAATTCTCCTCGATATTCAGTACATTTTAGATGTGGGTGTTTTTATTCTTCTTGTTCCATGGTATTGTAATAATTTTTCTTTCACTACTAACACAATCAGACCAGTGCTACTGTGGGTAAGTAGGTAACCACATGGTAGATACTGCTGTAAAGTAGTTAGGTTTTCACATATACCAGGTCATGAGGTAGGATTACTAGCCTCCTTCTTTGCAGTCTTAGCTTTCTCTGGTGTTTATTTTATGGTAAGGACCAAGATAGGAACTGTAATCATTAAAAAAGACATAAAATACTTCCAGTCAAATACAATGGGTGGTTTCTGATGAGGAACCAACAGTCTGCAGACAAATAAGCAGATCAGTAAAATGAACGAGCACATAACATTCAGGTTCTGAAAAAAGACTGAAGTCCTGAGGTGGACGAACAACCATAACTTTCCACTGGAGTTTACAGTTGGTGAAATGGAAGAAGAAAAAATAGCAACCCCTATCCATTCCTAGCCCCCACTAACTTTCTAAATCAAGGTGGATACAGTGATTTGTGGAAAGGGAACCATGTTCTAGTCAAGTATGGATGAAGTCAGTACTTTAAAAAACTTTAAAGCTCTTGGTGAAGATGGCACTAAATATAAACATACATTTCAATAAAAACAATTCTAAATCAATCTGAACATATTTCATTAATAGCGGAAACATAATTTTCATATTACTGCAAGCATGTATGTTATTACTTGAAAATTATTTTTAGAAAAATCTCTAACCTCTCTTGCTGCACATTCTAGAAGAGCTTCATTCTGATTAATTTTTCCCTTTGGAAATCCCCAACTGTTTTTGCTTGTAAAGCTCTGCACCAAGAGAACCTAGTCAGGAAACAAGTACAATATCAAACAAGTTATAAAATAAATAATTGCTGAATGCATTCATTTAGCTGTTGGAAACAGCAGTAGCACAGTGGGTGCATATTCATCTTCCTGCACAGTGGCCACATATATGATCATCATTGCGTGGACTGATGTAGATCACTGTCATGCTGATGTGTTTAGAAACTAACAGTCTTTAAACTTGTAGGCACAAGAATTGAATAATGTAAACGACACTTTGCAATTTTCATAAGTATCTGGGTATTGTTGTGAGTGTGAGGATGAAATACACCCCAGCCCCAATCATGCTATCACCCAGAACTGGTAACACTTCACATTTTCTATAGTCAACTACTTACTGAGAAATCACAAAGTTTAAAGCTGACAGGATCATCTTCATCACACTGGTTTTATCCCCATATGACCATGTCTCTCTCCACTGAATGACTAGTAATCAGTTTTAATGTCACACAAATCAAGAACACTGCTGGTTCAGTGATGACTCCAACTGATCTGCTTAAAGATTGCAAGCATGAAACTGAATGATGCAGTCTGTGAACTGAATGCATGACCTTTCAGGATCAGACATTTGGCTTCTTAATTTAGCTATGGCAGATAAATCTGCCATAATATACTATTCTTAATTTTGCTGTGAACTTCTTAAGGTCCATGCCGGGTGGCGTTGGTAGTCATGCCTATTCACAACCTTCTGTCTCGTATATTTTCAATCAAATCTGACACAGATATTCCTCCATGACATGATGTCAAACTGTCCAGGATCTTTTGTCTCAATCTTCCTTTGCCTTTCTTGCCCTTCAACCTTCCTACTATCACGATGTACTCCAGTTTTCTCCTTCCATCACATGACTAAAGAATGCAGACTATCTCTTTCTGATGTGGACAATCAGCGCTCTCCGTGAGTCAGTTTCTTTCAAGACATCCTCATTACTCTTTTTATCTGTCCAGGGTGTTGTGAACTTACTGTAATATATATAGAATAGCATTAAAGTAAATGAAAATCTCCCCCCCCCCCCATGCATGTGTTTGTTTAAGACAATAATACAAATGATCAAATGTTTATAACGCAGTGTCAACAACAGTGATAAACATGAACACATATGAACGTACATGTTTAAGATCTTTATCAAGTATGATAGCACCACAGGTGGCAATAGTTTTCTTGTACTGTCTCCAAGCATCAAAGTGTTTATCAAACTCTGCTATGAACTGTTTAATTTGGGGACAATGGCTGATCACTGTCCAAAGTTAAGGCACACAGACACAACAAAAAGACATTCTATGAATCATATGATTTGTTACTTCCCTAAGCAATAAAATTGTTTCAGTTTCCTTAATATTTTCAGTACCAAACAAGATGTCATATGTGATAAATTTCTCATAAATTTCAGTAATTGCGTAACCTGCTCTCTGACATTTTTTTTTTTTTTTTTACATTGGGTATGAGTGTACACAATATAGGTCTTAAAGTAACCACCTCTGGGGTGTATTTAGCTTCTTTGAAAGTAATGCAATACTTCCAACATTCTACCACCCTTTGGTATAACTGTAACATCATTTGGGACTGATGAGGCTAAGAAAATGGTCGGCTGGTTGAGAAATCATTGCATGCAGTTATGCATTCTCAATCTTTCTTTGTCAGTCGATACAAAAAAAGAGAATTCTTAAAAGCTATATAAATCTTATCTTGACGTATGGAAGTGAATTATGGACAGTTGGTAAATTAATGAAAACTTATTTGGAAGCTGATGTGGTTTATAGATGAATGATGAGAATATCCTGGACAGAAAAAAAAGATGTCTCAAAAGAAACTGACTCACGAAGAGAACTCATCAGAAAGAGACAATACATTCTTTGGTCATGTGATGAGAAGGAGAAAACTGGATTACATTGTGACAGTAGGAAAGTTGGAGGGAAGGAGAGGCAGAGGGAGACCAAGAGAAAAGATGCTGGACAGTCTGACATCATGGTGTGGACGATCATCTGTAGATGGGTGCAAAAAAGGAAATCTAAAAATCTTTTATCTGACAATAATACCCAAAAAAAAAAAATGCCATAACTTCACAACCATTCAACATGTTGCCTGAAAGAATGCGAGACAGAAGGTTGTGGATAGACATGACTACCAACGCCACATGGCATAGACTTTAAGAAGATGTGGACTGATTATTCTTTTTCTTAACTCTCACTGTCTGGTACATATCACAAAAATCACAGCGTCTCACCGGGTGCGAGATTTAGTGTTGGCTCCCATTCATGCTGTTGCCGTTCCCACAGGCTGTTTTATGCTCTAGGGGTGTTAGCATATGCGTAACTTGCCCTCTGATGTCTATACACACAGCGGAAGACCGGCTCCTGTTCATTCGAGCCCCACCACAAAAGAGCAGTTCTCATACGTGGCCGGCGAAATTGAGCGACCACTTAACTAGTTTTCTTTTATGTGCCAACTATGTCTCTTGTGCAACCTTCACTGGTCTGAGAATTGGTGGCATTCTAGGGTGGACCTTGAAAAGGGCCATCTGGGATGGGGAAGGGGTGGGCCCTAAAAAGTATCGACAGTGTGGATATATCATATACTCGTTGGTGACCCAGAAGTTGACAAGCCTGCAGTTTTACAGCGCTAGCAGATCTGAAGATGTCATCTAATACAACAACTCAGTCAGTGGAATGAAAATGAAATGGAGATTCAACAGTCCGCTGACCCACCGACTAGGACTTTTAGTGCGAAAGACGAATGGATGAGCCTACTCTCCTCGAGTATGATCACAGTCTACCCTAGCAAAACAAGGAGCTGAAGTGGGAGGCAACCAGCCAAGAGGCGCACCACAGCAATCAGTATGCCACGCATACACGCCATGGAAATATGTCTAAATCAGCAAAACGTTATGGTGCTCACCCTGTGATGGACTCTCAGGCAGAAGCAGTGCCGGGCCCTCTGCCTCGAAGAGGCCCAACCCAAATTACTGGAGGTCCTTCTCAAATGTCCTGTGGAGCCAAGGGACGTGAGAATAGAGCATCAGGCCGAACTAAGAAAAGAGTCAAATTAATGCACTGGAATGCAGAGGGGATTACAAATAAAAAGCTGGAGTTAGAAAATATTCTAAATGAGGAACAGATTCATATATGCTGTCTACAGGAAACCCACCCCACCGAAGACACAGTCTTCAAAATCAGAGGTTATCAGTGCTTCCGATCAGACCGGAAAAGCAGGAAAAAGGGTGGAATACTGACTCTTGTGAGGAACAATATCACTGCGTGCCAGACTGAAGTATATATGGATGGAGCAGAATATCAGATTCTGAAACTACAAACTGGAAATGCAGACTTCTACCTGATCAATTATTACTGCCCAAGTGATCGTCCCCAGACATTAGACACAATCCCAGTGGAAGAAAAGATGATTCTATGTGGAGACTTTAACAGCCACTCACAAAGCTGGGGATACGACCATATAGACTAGAGAAGAGAGAAACTGGAGGAGTGGCAGGATGAGAACAGACTTGTTCTGATTAATAGGCCAACTGATCCACCAACATTCTACTCGAGGTCGTGGCACACCACTACTACCCCAGACCTAGCATTTCACTCTCCAGATCTGGAAAGGAACATTAAACGAGTTGTTGGAAATCAACTGGGAGGCAGTGACCATCGACCGGTCTTCCTGAATGTAGAAAATGAGAAGGTCACAGAAACTAGTACGCTGCCAAGGTGGAACTACAAGAAGGCTGACTGGACAATGTTCAAGCACCGTACCAGTATACTGCTTGGAAGTCTCAGCGTAGACCAGGATATAAACAAAGTAGTTAAATGCGTACGTACTAAAGGTAGCAGGAGAATCAATACCAAGAGGTGCCCGTAAGCATTATAAGCCATACTGGAGTAGAGATAGAAAATTTACATAACGAAGTAGAAACATCCAGAAAGATAGCAGAGACCAGGCCAAACCAAGAACATCACAATAACTACCAGCATGCAAAAGCAAAATTTGTAAGGGCAAAGCTGCAGGTTAGAAGGGAAAACTGGCACGAGAAAACAAGATCGCTGAACTTTGAAAAAGACACAAGAAAGTTATGGAAGCTTGTGAAACAAATTAATGATGAGGACACAGGGTGGAACTCAAAGATCACGCTGCAGAAAGATGGAAACATGGTCACAGGGAAAGAGGCAGCCAACCTATTTGCGGACACTTTTGCTTTAGATAACGACATTGTAATCAGTTCAGAGAAAAAAACAAGAAATTTTAGAAAAGACACAATTTAGAAGTCAGAAAGAAATAACAAAAGAGGCACTAGAGGTGCCAATTACACTTAATGAACTGGAGCTGGCCATTTCAAAGCTGGAAATGCGGAAGTCACCAGGAGCAGATGGTATATAAAACGAAATGATCAGAAACTTAGGAAAAGTAGCGAGGCAATTATGATACCCCTCATAAAGCCTGGGAAAGACAGTTCTAATGCCTCCAACTACAGACCGATCAGCCTCACAAGTTGTCGCTGTAAAACAATGGAGTGCATCACCAACCTCAGACTACAGTGGTACATTGAAAGTGAAAACATCATTACACCACAGCAGGCGGGCTTTAGAAAGTTCTACTCTACGGAAGACCAGACAACATACCTCACCCCCAAGAAATAGAGGATGCTTTTCAAGATAAGAAACTGGTACTCGCGGCATAGATAGATTTAAGGAAAGCTTTTGATAAGGTTTGGAAGGAGGGGCTTTTGAAGAAATTGAGAAACTATAAAAAAAATGGAAAAATGTACAACTGGGTTAAAGCATATCTACATAACAGAAGAGCCCGGGTACAGGTAGATGGTTTTAAAAGTAAAAAAGTTCTACTGCGATAAGGTGTCCCTCAAGGTGGTGTCCTGTCGCCCACACTTTTCCTCTTATTCATCAACAATCTGGTTGCTGAGATACCAAATGGAATCAAAATGGCAATGTATGCCGACGACCTGGTACTGTGGTGCACCAATGAACATGCAACAATAGCCACAAAAACACTACAGCGGGCTACAAATGCACTTGGCATGGGCCAATAGATGGTGTGTCAGCATCAACACAGACAAATGTTGCACCACACTATTCACCCTCTCCCCAAAGCAAAAAGCCGGCACCATCAAAATAAACGGAATACCCCTGAGAGATGATAAACAGCCCACATACCTAGGAGTCACATTTGATGACAGGTTGACATGGAGAAAACATATCAACAAGGCAGCAACCAAAGCCAGGAGGAAAACAGCAATACGAAGAAAACTAAGTGGAACCGCATGGGGAGCCGATGGGAAAATACTCAATAAAGTATACAAGCAGAGCATACTTCCACACTAGGAATATGGGTCAACTGCATGGTGTTCAGCATCTAGTACCACATTAAAGGAGTTAGACAAAGTGCAAAATCAAGCGCTCAGAGGAGGGATGAAATCAACCCCCATATAGGAAATGGAGAAAGCTGGGAAAACACAGGCACTGTGAGAACGCAGAGATACACAGTTGCAAATACAAGCTGAAAAGTTCCTCAGTATGCCAGATCACCCGATGGAAAATAGATTTAAGAACCTAGCCTTAGGATGGTTAAAAAGAAGCAGCTTTATAAACCAAGCAAAAAGAATATGTAGACAAACTCCTGACCTTCCACTTAAAAGTATTCCGGAACAAACCCCATGGAGAGAAAAATGTAAACTAACGGTACAAATCCAGACAAATGTGAAAGGGATATTTGACAAGAAAGAGCAAGATAGTGTACAACGCAGAATGGCCACCCTCAGTTATATTAATGCAGAATACCAACAAGAACAATGGGTCAGAGTCTATACAGATGGGTCCGCAGAAAGTGCAGTTAGAAATGGTGGCGTTGGAGTGTATATCGAATTCCCAGATGGTACTAGGGATAAGTCCAGCGTACCAACCGGGAAGTACTGCCATAACTATGATGCAGAAACCCAGGCTATCAAGATAGCTACAGAGAAACTGCTAAATACCAACCTTGGCTCACAGTATGTGGTAATGCTGACAGATGCTAAATCAGTACTTGAAGCACTCCAGTCTAGGAAACTACCAGAATTGCAAACACTGCTGACACAACTCAGCCTTCAGCGAAGAGTCGTAATGCAGTGGATACCGTCTCATTGTGGAGTGCCTGGAAATAAGAAAGCTGATAAACTGGCAGGGGAAGGTGCGGCAAAAGAGCAGCCAGATGTACCAGTCACATACCACCAAAAGAAAAGAATCATTAAATCGATCAGGAAACCACCAGCCCCAGCACAAGACGACTATTTTATTATGGACAGACCAGAACAAGTCATTATCCTCTGCCTCAGAACAGGGCACAACCGATTACGTAACCACATGTACACAAAATTCAAGATAGGTGTATCAGCCATGTGCACACCTGTGGAAATGTGCCCCAGACAGCAGAGCATGTACTCCAGGACTGCACCGATTTTGACACATTAAGGCAAACCTTTTGGCTAGAAAGAACAACAGTGGAACGTAAACTCTATGGACCACTGAATGAACTAACAACGACAGTGAAATTTATACAAGAGACAAAACTGCTGATATAGACAACTTATTTCAGGCGAACAAAAGAAGAAGAGGAAGTGCCCTGTAACATAAACAGTGTCGGCCGCACACAACGTGGAATATAGAATGCTTACAGTGTTGTAAATCACACAACCTGCCACCTCTAGTTCATCCTGTGGGAAAGGTCATGGCATGGATGGGAGCTGATTAGAAATCTCGCGCCCAGCAAGAAGTGGTGTTGCTCGTGATATGTTCCCACTGGCTGTAAACTCTACTGGAAAGTTATGGTTGTTCATCCATTTCTGGACTTTAGTATTGTTACAGATCTGCTTATTTGTATGCAGACTTTTGGTTCCTTGCCTCTCAGGCAGATGCACCCTGGAAGAATGTGGCTTGATATAACAGGGCACCGTATCTTTATCCTGTTCAGACAGGCAAGTAAGACACTAACTGCAGGCATAGTGAGTTCTTAATGTGGAGTGTGCAAGACATGAAAATTTACCACCAGTATGTGGGCATGCTGTGACTTTTGCTATCTCACAGCATGCAGTTTGCAGTTCTCTGTGCAGTTCATAGTCAATTAGTGGTCATACTAGTGTTTGTCTCTATGATAGCCTATAAAGAGACAAAGAAAGGTCTTAGTGTGGTGCCCAATCCAAGAACATCATCATCATCATGTATCTGACACAAGTTTTCATATATAAAATCTTATCTGTGGATCTGGTTGCCAATGCAAGATGAGTTGAAATATATGCATACACACACACACACACACACATATATATATATATATATATATATATATATATATATATATATATATATATATATATATATATATATATATATATATAAATAAACAGCTGGGGAAAAATAGCAAGCTCAGGTAAATAAATCAGGAGGTGAGGAAACAATGCTGATGTAGTAAAAGACACAGTGACAGAGTCAGTTTAAAAACCGAGAAGAGAACTGGAAACTCTGGTAAATATGGAAGGAATTGAGAGAGTTAAGTAGGGCATCCTTAAAATAAGATGGCTGAAGACATCTGCTCCAATGATGAAAGAAAAAAGCTAAATAAGAGGCGAAGATAGTATGAATTTAGATTTCTTTTTTATTCTTCACACAAAAGAATCAATGTCTAACACTCTATGAGTACTGCTGATGATACTATTTTTGCAAAGGATACAGTTGTATGCAAACTCCTTTAATGCACACTCTCTCAGCTCTGGATTTTCCACTCGATGAAAATCAAGATAAAACCAGAAAGCATTTTCAACCAAAAAAAATAAGCGGATGATTGATTTCAAGTCCTCTGGTCGACTGTTGATAATAAAACGGCTGAAAAAGAAAGACCATCTTTTATTGCAATATGACTTACCAAACAGATAATACATTCTAAGAATAATTTAAAATAACAAAATGTATTAATTTATTCTGACATCTAATTTTAAAAAAGAAAAAAAGAAATATTATAATAAATATATGTGTGTATGCACTTGTGTATTTATACAGGTCTTTATTTATTATTAAGATTAAAACTTCTGACATGAAATAACAGCCACCTACTATAGAATTTCTGCTTATTCTGATCACTAATCATTTTTAACTAAGCAGTGGTTTTTTTACTGGTAAAAATTTTCGGTTCTTTATTAATATCCTACCCCAGATGACGTCACAGGCCAGGCCAACATTTTAGAGGGTGGTAAGATGGTGTCCCTTCTTTCTGATGCTTTTAATGACCCTGAATCATCTATAACGGGCACAAACTCCAACCCACCTACGTCCCACGAGAGAGTGCAGCCTAGGTCCCATGACTGTATGCAGCCTATCCACCACTTCCTGAAACATTTGACTGTCCCATGACCTGTGGATTTCCCGTTTGGGGTAGGATATTAATAAAGCACCCAATTTTTTTCTTTTTAGGTGTCTCTGGTCAGTATGAAGACACTGACAGAGGGGTGTTTGGCTCATACATATTTATATGAGTGATTACCGAGTCTGAAATGTGCTGTGTGTAAGCAAAAAATTGTAACTTGTTAAGTTCTGTTTAAATCTTCAAGGAACTCCTTTTTACATCCAGTGTTTGTTTTCCAGTCTGTTCCTGCTGTTCTCTTAATTAAAGTTTCCACTTCTGGAATATTCAAAAATGTTCACTGTTCACCCGAATACAAAAAAAAAAAAAAAAAAACATGTAAGAAAAAAAAAATGGGGGAGGGGGAGAAGGTACAAAGCCACCCCCACACCAAATTCTTTTGAAGAATAGAAAGAATTAATTTTACTGATGTCAGAAATAGCTTTGCTAAATACATCATTCCTGTGTCAAAGGTACTTAAACACTGGCAGTTCCCACCACTTTCACTTTAATTTATGTTAAATTTTCGTAATATTACAAATTTACCTGCTTAAGTCATCCAAGACGTAAGAAGGAATCGTTTTCTCAGCAAATGTTATCTTCTGAGACTGGAACTGTTCACCTGTTTCCATGACTTTAAAATTGAATAGTTTCCAAATGTGAACTGAAATTGAATTTGACGTTGTTAATACATTTGGGCATACACACAAATATAATACTAATTTCAATTTGTGCCGTCTCCACAATGGACACTGGCTGTAGTTGATATGTGCATCCACTGCTGTATAAGAAATATTAAATGGTGAGGCTTCTTATGGTGCAATTCACGTACCACCATCTGAAAGCCAAGAGAATGGTTTTTATCTATCCTGTTGTGAAGTACTTCCGCTTACCTCTAAGCCACAATAATATAATATTAACTTTAATTAAATTATTACCATTTAATGTGAAATTAATCTTCTTAGTATCTTCTCAGTGTTGACTTACAGTAAACCTGGTGGAAAGTTCTGGTTGTTTGTCCACTTGAATACTTTAGTCTTGTTCCAGAACTTGAGTCGCTGGTGCTACGGAGCCGGTGCACTGAGCTAAGCTACTTCGGACTCAGACTTGAGTTAGAAGTAGAACGGAGCACTTATGGATTACTGCCCGTGTGCTATGACATTGATCCATTGTTCAAGCCTCAAACCTCAATAAAAGGATGCCAAGCCCAGGAATGAAAATATTAGTAACCTCAAAGAATTACACTTTGCTGATTAATGGGCCTTGACAAATATAGCCATGAAATTACAAACACATCCTAAATCCATGAATGAATAATGTGAAACAAATAATATGAGAATGAAACAAATAATAAGAGAATCAACACTGCAAAGACAGAAGTAATGTCAAAGGGAAGAAAGAAGCAAAACCAAAATATAGCAATAAAGGGCAAAAGCATTAAACAAGACATCTGAGTTTATATTTGGGAACATTCACTGAAGATTGTAAACGGGGTGAAGAAATTAACATCAGATGCAGTAAAGCAAACCGAGTATTGGGACAGCTAGCCTTCCTCTTACAGCAAAAACATAAAATAATCCCGTTCAGCACAAAGAAACATCTAATACAAAGCATATTTATTTCCACCCTATGCTGCTGATGCCAGACATGGTCAATCACAACAAGCCAGACAAGAAAATTAGTAACCATGCATATGAGATGTCTAAGAAGGGCCGCAGGAGTGACCAGAAGAGATAAAATCAAGAATAAGTTTATGAGAGAAAAAGTCGCAACAGAACTAATAATGTATAGTTTCTAAGAGATTTATTAGGAAACAAAATAGTTAATGCCATAAAATGCAAACATTTAGTTATTTCATCCTTGCATTTTACTGGGCCACAGCCCAGAATCCACTATAATTTGTCTATGATGGTATCCACCACTAAAATGTTAATATCTCTACTTAGAATTGACCTACAAGCCTCACTAAGGTATCGTTGCATTGTATATTTTAATTTTAAACTCCAACCAGTTGTGGTAGTTTCATAAACAAAACCCAAAATAAAAAAAAAATACACTAATTAGCATCCCTATTAACAAGGCCTAATCTAAAGTAAAAGAGAAGAAGGATGTAAAGCATGATGCAGATCGAGAAGAATACTGAAAGATGACATCAGAGAAACTTTACAACAGCCTGATGCATCTATGGCTGAGGCGGCCAGAGAAGCAAGAAGCACAACCTTGTATTTTATGTGGCGAGACGGTGAAGTAATAGAGGAAGTCTGTCCCAGTGGGGATCAAGAAGACGAGGAAAATTTATAATAGACCAGGGCTATTCAACTAACTTTACTCAGGGTGCAAAGTGTTGAAAATTGGTATTGTCATGGGCAAGAGGTCGGAGATACACAGCACAGAAAGATCATTAGTAGTATATAAATACAGCCGGCAATTAGCCATTGCCACTTGCTAGGAGTCTGTGGACCACCTGTTGAATAGAGCGCTGATTATGGAGACTATAGCGACTACAGTTTCGACAATTTGTGGTCTTTTTGGCAATTTCCGTTACCATGGAAACCGTTCGAAACTTTTTGAGAAATTTTGGCTGGGGTTTCGGGATGGGTCCTAATCTCTCATGAAAATTTGCGACTGGTGTGAAAACGGCGGGAACGAACCCGATTAACAGCGCATGTCTACGACAGCCGGACGTCCTCTGTTTTTCTGTTACATCAGTTTGATTGAAAACAGCAATAAGTATTCAAAGTTGGCTTTAGGCCTTAAACATTACCAGACATGGTAATGCTAGTTATAATTGAATTCTCCGTCCAATTTTACATTTGTGTATAAAATTTCTCTCTTGTCCGTGGCTGTTTAGATTTACAGTGACATTTTTTCAGGCAATCGCTATTATGTGGCTGTGTCTGAGAAAAATTGTCTGCCATCTTGTCCAATGAAAACAAAGCCAAAACGAAAGTTGCGCAGTTTGGTTGCGCAGAGAAAACTTCTTGTTTCTAAGACACAAGTTTTAGCAGCTGTTTTTTTTACATCTCATCTCCACAAAAACCTACATATCTCAGCTCAGAAATGACATACAAGGCTAAATGAGGTACCATTGGAAAGAGATTGTTTACAGCTATCTAACTGTGCTGGTTTTATTGGTGTTGAGGGCATTTTAAAAATTTGACTTAAGTACCTAGGCAATGGCCATTTCTAAAATTTAGCGACTACGGTGTCCGGAAATTTGCAATCTTTTGGCATTTTCCGTTACCACGGAAACCGTTCGAAACTTGCTTCGGAAATGTTGGCTGGGGTTTCGGGATGGATCCTAATCTCTCATGAAATTTTGCGATTGGTGTGATTTTCACCCACTCTAAATAGCTGAAAACAGCGGGAAGGAACCCGATTAACAGCGCATGTCTACGACAGCCGGATGTCCTCTGTTTTTCTGTAACATCAGTTTGATTGAAAATAGCGCTAAGTATTCAAGGTTTGCTTTAGGCTTTAACTGTTACTGGCACTGGTAATATTAGTTATAATTGAATTCTCCGTCCATTTTTACATTTGTGTATAAAATTTCTTTCTGAACCGTGGCTAGGTAGATGTACAGTGACATTTTTCAGGCAATCGCTGGCTCAGCCAGTGGCTGTGTCTCATTGGCTGCCATCTTGTCCAATGACAGTCCAATGTAAACAAAGCCAAAACGAAAGTTGCGCAGTTTGGTTGCGCAGAGAAAACCTCTTGTTTCTGGGAGGCAAGTTTTAGCAGCTGCTTTCTACATCTCATCTCCACAAAAACCTACATATCTCAGCTCAGAAATGACATACAAGCCTAAATCATTACAGCTATCTAACTGTGCTGGTTTTATTGGTGTAGAGGGCATTTTGAAAATTTGACTAAAGTACCTATAAAATTTTGGCCCCTGAGTTTGGTTGATACTATTTTCTGTAGTGAAAGGCCCGTTCCAGAGATCTCTTCCTGCCCTGCAGGCATTCCAGGAGTAAAAAAAAAAAAAAAAAAAAAAAAGAGAGAGAAAAAAGAAGTAGTGCTAGTACTACTAGTAATAATCATTAGTAATACATTTAAGCTTGAAGTAGTTCAAGAAAAAGTATTTTAGTATTTTCTGAGTGTTACAGTAGTAAGTTACACTGTTGAACTCAGTTAACTGTTACTTACCAATAGCAAAAATACAATAACAATAAATAACTTGAATGTTTTAATATAATGTCACACACAAATGACTAAATGAACTATTAATATTAACCTTACTGACGATTACACGCCCGTTTTTGTGCCGAGTATAATTTTACCGACTGTTATGTATGTAGGTGTGTTATTAAACAAAATATTTCTAGAGCCATTGTTTTGGACAGTGTTGACATGACAAAACTTGTTTAAATAGCTAACTATTTCCACACTTGTTTTTTTTCCTCCAATAAATTACGTATAACAATATTAGTGTCAATAGAAGGGACAATTTCTTTCCACTCTGTATCGAGTGTACCTAAAGTTGATTTAAACTGTCATTTAAATACCAAACATTCAACACGTTTTTCTGTTCTGGCAATTTCAAATATGGTAGGCTTATCGTTACATCATAAGTTTATATAAATCGAAGCTACTCAGATCAGGAGTAAATTACTTTGAAACAGAAATGAAATTAATTGAAAAGTCTAGCTCTAGCCTGCTCTGTGACTGTGACTGTCTCACTTAACTGCAAACTTCATTTGTCTTTTACTTTCTATTTGGCCTTTTGCAATTTTCATCTTTCAGTTGGGGAACATGTGACTATTTATGAGTTTGTTGGTCGAATGTGTCGGGCTAAAAGGCGCAGATGTCTCGGCGTAGCGTATCTCATGCAGTGTAACGTTTAAACGTGCTTTTAAAGGGCGCAAGCGGCAAGATGATAAATAAAATAATTATGTTGACATTTGACTCAGCAACTAACAACTAAACATGCTGGCAATTTTTATTGAATTATCCCAACTAAATATTTTAGTACTTAAACTTTAACTTTAATAATTTTTTTTTTTTTTTAATGTAAAAAAAAAAAAAAAATCCAGCAGTACACTAATCACATCAGACTCCTACTTACCTACTAGTAGACTATTTATAGAATTCTGACCATTTTAACTATACAATACAAATAATACAAATACATTATTGTGATTTCTTCTTCTTCATGTTCATCAACTGTACAATATGGCGGAAAGTTCTGGTTAGTGGTTGTTTGTCCACTTCTGGACTCTAGTCCTGTTGCAGAACCTGAGTGTTGCATGTACATCCGTGTCACAGGTCTGATTCATTTGCATGCAGACTGTTGGTTCCTTGTCTTCAGGCAGATGTGCTCTGACTTCGAAGAAAGTGGGTATATTGTTATTTTCCCCCACAATGAGGTTCTGGAACCCACAAAGGGAATTGTGTTTTAATTTACTGCCTGCCTGTTTCAACTGTTTGGGCCAGTGTTTTCCTAACATCTCTTCCATCCATTTCTTAATTACCCACCAGCAATTGTTGTTGTAATTATTTCTGTTTGACTCACTCTTTCGGTCTTCTGTTCTGCCATTCTACCCCTCATAGTCATAGAGCTTAGATCCTCAACTGACTCATGCAGCCTTAGTTGACTCACGGCGTGCCCAATAAATTTAAAGGCTTTTTACATGACTGATTGGCTGTTGCAACTAACATTTTATTATGGTTGTTAGTCTCTTGTTAACCTTTACCTACATCACTCATATGTTAGGTTACAACATTACCATCCTATACATCCCTTATCTCTTTTGGTACCAGAGGACAGTACAGTTAGTTATAAATCAACGTAATCTTATAGTTATAAATGAACGTAATCTTATGTCGTAAGATGACTCTTTGTACCTAACGATTTATCATATGGGCCTCACTATCATTAGCAGTTTTTATCAATTATGTCTCTTAATCTTCTCTTGACTGTTCAGTTGTTTCAATGTATAGTAACTAACTTACAAAAGGAGATGCCGTGGTTTTGCGGCTAGAAGCTCGCCTGTAAATAGGAAGTTCATTGGTTCAGGACCTGATGTAGCCAGACTTTTTTTCTTTAAAAAAATTACCTAGTTTGCCGGGTCTCCCCATCGGCAATGGGTACCAGGTGCAGTCCTGGGAAGTAAAAATGGCCAGCATTATGTTGACCACATCACCCACCAAGTGCCGACTGATCTATGAAAATACATATCTAGCCGTAAATACCCAGTATGCCTGGAGGTGTGGAAAATGGTCCTGAAAACTAACTTAGGAAGCAGAGTTGAAATGGAAGCAGTGTTGAAATGGAAGCAGCGTTGAAATGGAAACAGTGTTGGCATTGATTATTAATTAGATTAAATGTTTAGGTATTTTAGTGTTTACATAGTGAAAATTTAGTTAATTTCTTTTTAAAAAATTTCTAGGGAGACTTCCTAGAAGGACTTCCTTCTTATAACAAGAGCAACTTCACACGATTCCACGCAGACTCCACTCATAGATCTCATGTGAGTAGACAGGCATGTGTTTTATTGTAACGTGTACTCATTGTTAAAAATAATAAGTGAAGTAAAGGACCTTTTTTTTTATGTCAGTGCTGTATCGGGCATATCAGGGTTCGTAGTGGACCAGGAAATCTTAAATTAACCGTGATTTTGATTTTCCTACCAGGAACCTGGAATTTAGCCTTAGAAAAGACATTCTGACCTTAAGAAGCCGTGAATTTTGACCTCCGCAAAGAGATCGTCGGAAATCTGAGATTTTCAGCAGTTAGGTCATTTTTTGTGGCCATTTGGCTTTTTTTTGGCTGTTTGGCTACTTTTGTTTACGGTTGTTTCAGGTATGAGGACAACTGATTATCGGCTATTTTCAGCCAAAATGGCTTGTTAAAGGCCAGGGAAGGGCCGGCTGTGTTGCAGTCCATGAATACACGCAGACAGCGCGGTGTGGCATGGGGCGGGAAGGAGCAACTGCCATCTAGTGTGTGCATGTGCCTTTGTTTCTAGCGAGTCTGGCAATAGAATAAATAGCTTTATGGCCGTGGTTTCTAGAAAAGATTACATTGGGAGATGGTGGAGCTCGGGTCCGTCTGTATTTATAAATAGAGTCGGCCGTGGTGGGGGCTAAGCAAAGTGACATCAGCTGGATTTCCCAGTTCTATTTTTGGCCTGGTTTATCTTTACAGTGTGTTTGGCGATCTGTATTGTAATTTCCCGAGATTCCCTCTTCTGTTGTCTCACCCCTCTCTCTTTTTTTTCTCTCTTCCCTCCCTCTTTCACTCTTCTACCTATTGCTCCATCCTTCCCGTCTCCTGCATTGTCTCTCACCCTCCCCTCTGATCTTTGTCTTCTTCTCGTTCTCTATCTTTCAGCGTGAACATGGTGGATATTTTTTTTTGATGTGTTTGTTTTCTTAGCGGGCCTTAATCTCTGTCCATCTCCCTACCTGCCCCCTCACATTTTGTCCTACCTGTTCCATACTCTCTGCCTGTTTGCCACTGCCTTCCTCTCTCTTTCTCTTTGTATTTGCCGCTCTCCCTCACTCACCCCCCCCCCCCCACTCTCTCTCTTTCTCTATATCTTCAATTGGCGTAGAAGGTTATGTGTTGTCTAGTGCAGAACATTTAATGTCCACCACTCCCCCCTCCCTCACACACATATTAAATATATGTGTACTTTTAAAAACACATTTGCTATCACCCCCTTTCTCTGCCCACATCGATGACACCTAGGGGAGGGGGTGCACCCCTTCCTGCAACATTCTATATCTCATCTTATTTCTTTCTCCCTTCTTTCTCTCCCTGTCTCAGTCCCCACTTTCTTTTCTTAAACTTTATTCTCTCAGCTTTCTCACCTTCTCTGTCTCACCCTTACCATCTCAGCCTTCTAAACCACCTCCTCTCCCCCTCCTTTCTGTAATTGGAAAATCAGAAATAAAACTAAGTCCATTGGTGCCCTGACCTATTTGTGTGTGTGCTTGGGTAACCTGCTCTATTTTCCACCAGTGGTGGGTTGGGATCCCCTGGACTTTTTTTTCTTCATAAAATGACCTTGGCTCTCAGGTCACCAGCCTTAAGTGTAAGAATGGAATTATTGTTGTCACAGGCAGATTGAACAAGCATGGGGCGGTAGGGGTTAGCACTGTTGTTTATGGAAGAAGGCCACATTCACATTGGGAGAGGGTAGGAACCGGAAAAGTGGCCTCACTTAGATTTCCTAATTTTATTTTTGGGCTCAGTGTTCTTATCGCCAACCCCCCCCCCCCCCCCCCCCCCCCACCCCAACCATGTCTTACCTCTCTTCTCTCATCCCTTCTCTTTCCTTTGATCTTCCACTCTTCTCCTTTATCTCTCCATCCTTCCTCTCTTCCTTTCCATACTTTGTTCTCTCTTGCTTTTCCTCCTGTCCCATCTCTTCTTTGTTTCCTCTCCATCCTGTCTTCTCATTTTTTTTTTTTAGATTTCCTTACCCTCTCCTCTCTCTCATCCCCCCCCCCCCACCCGCGCCATTTTTTTCTGGTTCTTCTACATTTTTGTTGTTGCCCCCATAACCATCTTTTCCTAGTGGTTGTGTCCAGAACACTTAAAATTGTGTTGCGGGAGTGGGTGGGGTTTCAGCATGAGGGCTGTTTTTTTTTCTTTGATGTTTTGTTATATTTGTTAGCAATTCTTGCACATTTTTTTAACTCTCTATCTTGTCTCCCTTCCTGCCCCTCTCTCTTAATCTGTGTTTGTCACTGCCTTCCTTACCCATCTCTCTCTCTTGCTTTAATGTCTGTTTGCCTCCCTTTATCAATTCCTCTTTGTATACCTCCGTCCCATTCTCCTGCTCTGCCCTTTTTCTCTTTCTCTGGTTCTCTCCCTGTCTGCTTGCCTCTCTCTGCTGCCCCTTTGTCTCTCTCTTTTATGTCTACATCTCTCTCTGCTTGCATCTGCTTCTCTCCTTGTCCATTCTCTCTCCCTCTGTCTATCTTCCTTCAACTCTCTTTTTGTCATATTTTCCTCCTTCCATATCTCTGTCTTCCTTCTTTCTTCATCTGCCCATCTCTGTATCTGCATTCCCCCTTTCTGTATTTGTCTCCCTCTCTGTCTTTCGCTGTCCCTTTCCCATTTTCCCTCATGTCTCCATCCCCCCTCTCGTTGCCATATTTTTTCCTCCTTTCCCAGACTCCTTTTCCTTCTTTACTCTACCTTCATCTGTCCATCTTTACACTGTTTCTCCCAGTCTACCTCAGCATGTGTCTTCCTCCCTCTCTGTATGACTCTCTCTTCCCCCCCCCCCCCTTACCCTTTCAGGTACCAGGTCCAGAACAGACAGGACTTCAGTTTGCTGTCTAAAAAAAATTTTCAAACACTATATCAAGCACAGGGGCCGACCAACATGAAGATGGGCACAGGATATAAGTGACTCTTTGAGTATAAAAAAATAAAAGTACATGAGGCGGGAGAGCTGGCGGGAGACCGAGTTTTTTTCAGGACAAAGGACCTGCTACATGATGATGATGATATGTGCTGGTATACCGACTTGTGTGGCACGAATTAAGTACATTGTGTGCTCGGTACATCCTTGAACAAGGCAAAAATCTTGTTTCAGTATTACACCGAGGCAACCTTGAAAAAAACTAAGGAGACTTTGAAAAGCCTTGAAATTGATTGGTAAATTTAGCTATGAACCCTGGCATATGATGCTAGACTGGCATTTGTTTAGATCAAATTACCTGTTGATGGGTGCTGTGTTCAACATCATGCTGGCTTCCTTTACTTCCCAGAAGTTTTCCTAGTACCCATTTTAGGTTAGGCTGCCTGTGAGCCATGGTGAATAAAATACTATAAATATTTTGATTTGGGGGGAGGGGGGCAGGAGGTGTCTGGGTTTTTGTGGTGCAGTGCTTAACTCTTTCAGTCCCAGAAAATCATAGCTGATGCTTAATTAAAGCAATTATGATGACAACAAAAGCGTGGCTATACACCATCCACAGGATCCAGTAAACAGCACACTGTGGGTGACTTGTATTGTTGAACTGATTTAGTTAACCTGACTATACTTGAGATGTACAAATATATGACACTTGTTGACTGGTGCACATGAGTAATATCCAGTACCCATGGTGCTTTGTTTGGTGCTGAAAGAGATTAGCCATTTGCCTTGCGCCTTGAGGGTCATGGATTCAGTTACAGACTCCATCCTTGCAAGTATACATTTGCTGTGGCATTTTTTGCTTTCTCTGACATTCTCAGTGGGCAAGCAGGTGATCAGCCCAGAGAAACTGAGCCATCTGGCATAATACTTTATGCAGTGAAATCAGTCTCTCACATATAAACATGTTTTTAACATATTTAATATCAGTGAAAAAGTAAAGGACCATTTTCCACACCTTTAAGGCATATAAGGCTAGACCTATAATCGGCACAAGATGGGTGATATGGTCAGCATCATGCTGGCTGCTTTACTTCCCGCAACTGCACCTGGTACCTACTCAAGGCTGGGTCGACCTGGGAGTCAAGGTCATTTAAAAAAAAAAAGTCTGGCTGCGCCAGGGAGCAAACCCACGACCTTCTGATCCGCGGAGAGGGTCAAGCCGCTCCGCCAAGGCGACTCCAAATATGAGTGAGACTTCATATATTATTAATATGTTATAATTTACCTTATCATCTTTTGTGTGGGTACTTTCAATGTTTCCAGATAATAGTGTTGTACTGTGCTGTAGAGAGGCATGACAATCAAAGGCAGTGGAGAATATGCCAGCTCACAATTATATGAAGTCTTCCACAGTTAGAGCTTGGGAGTTCAGGATCATTGATGCTATTGCATACATTCAATATGCTTCTTCTCACTTGCTCAGCTCTTGACCTATCTGCTGTTTTCCTTATATTATCTGTCTTAATGACCACACTTTATTATCATTTCAGAAACCCTCTGTATATATTTCAACGAAAGATTATCCGTCAGAGCAAGGTGAGATAATTTTTTTTTTAAAGCTAGGATAATTTGCACAGCTATTGCTTCAGTCATGTTGGATTATTATTGTAATGAAATAATTGACTGATTTTTACAGTGTGTTTTGTTTGTGCTCTCTGTGGCCCAGAGGTGCATTTGTGCTAGGGTTAAGCATTATACTGACCAAAATCTCTCTTGACCACCCATCCAGACATCCTGTGAAACAGACACTGCTCTGACTAATTCAGAGTTGCCATATTTTGAACTTCCTAAATGAGGCACTTCTCCTAGCATTAAATTCCATTCCAGTTGTGTTCTGTGCATATTTTTCTGACGACTTGATCTTGTTTTTTAGTGTCTTTTAAATGTTCATAGAATTGCTTTGCATGTGAAATGTTTGAAATTCAATTTTACGATTGAAATTGACTTGACAGAATCCACATTAAATGATTTTTATCATTGTTGCTTTGGGCAAGGGTTAAAGAAAATATTCTTTCCACTGTAGCATTATATGCTGGAATATCTAAATAAGAACTGTACTATTTTCAGGATTTCAGAGTACATACCACTACTACTACAGTTGTCTTTATAGTCACATAGTATTCATTTTTTCTTTTTTTTTGTAAAGTTGTGGACAAATCTAGGAATCTCCAGAATTGCTTGCGGATGCTTGGATTTACTCATTAAATGATTAAGTATCCGCAAAAATGAGGGGCATATGGCAACCCTAAATAATGAAGAGATGACAAATAATAATCTCAGCTGTGATAACACCCACTAAACACTACTGACTTTATATACAATGTGCATGCAAAACTGAACGACTGGAACATGACTAAAGTCCAGAAGTTGACCAGCTGCCAGAACTTTTCACCTGATGTTACGGCTGGTGAACTCTAAGAAGAAGAAGTTGATGTTATTGATCCAGCGGTGCATGAGCTTTCACCCTTTGGCCCAATACCATGTAGTGGAATTTACTTGTTTTCACAAGCTGTTCCTTTCCTCCGTACAAGGTGTTCCACCTGTCTGGTCTCGGAGGGAGTAGCGTTCTTTTAGTCTCATTGAGTTTTGGGCACTCAAAGAGATAATGGTCAACAGTTTCGTAGGGGTAGTTACATAGCTGGCACTCTGTGGAGTGTTGTGGCTGTATTCTGTTTAGGTGTCTATTGAGCGGAATATGTTGTGTTCTGAGCCTGAAGATGGTGGCCTGGTCCCTTCTTGTTAAATGGTTAATGTTGTCGTTAGGATCAGGGCTGGCCGTGTGTCTATAAACCTCTCTTCCAGTATCTCCCATGGCCCATCTTTTCAGCCAAGTCTCTTTGTTTATAGCTTTTATAAGTGTTTTTGCTGTCTGTAGGGTTGTCGTTGTAGGTGGTTGTTCTTGTGTTGCTCCTCTCTTTGCCAGTCTGTCAGCTCTATTACCTGGTGTGTTGGAGTGGCCTGGAATCCACTGCATCACTATTCTGATGTTGTATGAGGAGCTGATCAGCATCTATAATTATCTTAGCTATGTCAGTTCTGCAGCGTTCACTGCCCTCCAGAGCTTGAAGAGCAGACATTGAATCAGTGAAGATGACAATATTTTGAGCCTTTGAAGGATAAACATCCATTAGTCTTTAGGTGGTATACTGCTGTTTCCAGTTCAATTATTTCAGCTTCATAATCTAAGAAGAAGTAAGTGGCATGATTGCAAGAAATGACATCAATTCGACGTAAAATGGTGTATAATCATCACCCATTTTTTGCACACCCTGCATTGAGAACTTAGAATAAGTATGTTGCTTACTTACCAAAATGGAAGAGATTGATCACCATCATCTAATTCTTTATGTCATACAAGAGTGAACATTTTGAAGTAACAGAGTTCTACCAATAGCAGTGACCAGTCTTTTTCAAAAGTTAATCTAAACGCATCCTACTGGTTCCTTTATTATGTAGTTGTTTAATGTTTTGCTAATTTACTGCATGTTGAGTGAAGATACATGTTTAAAAGTAACATTAAATGACTTATTGCACATCTATTTGCAGTAATTACAACTGAAAAGACCAATATTTTATTGCGATACTTGCATCAACAGTGGGATAAAAAGGTTTGTTTCTATATATATGTGTGTGTGTGTATATATATATATTTATATATATGCTTAAGCAGGTATCCCTCATTATACACAGTTAATTCGTACAGTCAACACAGGTGTGAGACAGATATGTGCTGTCCCCAGTTTTATTTAACAATAATATATACAGAATATCTAAAGAAGCAAGTTCTATTATAACAAAGAACTGGCACTATTAGACACAGGACCCTGAGGTTCATTGAGGGAAGGATCAGAGCACCTATGGACATGTCCGGAGTGAAATTATCATATCCCAACTAACAAACAAACTAATAGATCATTATAATCATGAAGACGTACATACATCAGACAAAGTAATCGACACACCCACATTTCAGAACATAAGTAGTTCTTTTTATTTACTATTATTTGTTGAGATTTTCTTCTTCTTTTTTTTCCTTTTATCCTTTCTATTCATCTTATATCCAATCATAGGTCCTCAGCCAACATTTCCTGCAGCTCCTTCTTTACCCTGCCCTATTTATTCTCTATTTCTGTTTATTTTTCCCCACAGTTGTTAAGGTTTAGTTTTTTTTTTTTTTTAAAGTTATCTGGTAGGTTGCACTTACAAAGAGGTTGCCACAGTTTATGCTGTTGTTTTATAGTTGCACTATTTCATTTGAACTTATGATCACCTCTGTATACTGAGCCATTTTTAAATGTATGTGTCATTTACTTATTGGCCTCAACCCACTTGCTGACAGACATTTATATGTAGATGCTCCTGAATATCTTTGCAGAGTGTAAGCAACAAGAAAAGAGACAGTCAGAAAGCCAACTTACCTGATGCTAATGAAGGGAGCTCGTCCTCAAAGGTGGCTCGCGTAAATTCTACAGACAGTAATTAGCTAATGTGTAAAGTAAAAAACATCTCACTTGTAAAAAATTTTTTCTGATTTAAAATGATTAAAACAATCAGAAAAAAAAACTACTTCATTGACATCTGTTTGTATCAGAATGTTTGTTTGAAATAATGTGTGTGTGTCAGATGGTCTGTGTATGTTGTTGCTTATTATGATGGATATTGTGGTGGGCTTTGGTGTAATGGGTGACAGTTTGAAAGGCATCTCACACAAGTAGCATGAAAGGATGAGAAGAAGAGAATTGCATTAATTCTGGTATGCTGAGTAAATTGGTTGCATATGGACATTATTTGTTCCTGTTGATGGGAAATGCTTGTGAAATTCAGCTGTTCTGCGGAGAGAGACTGAGCCCTATGGGATGAAACCCAGTGTAATGAAGTTGATCCTCTCGATTTTAACTTTTAGTCAAAATATAGACATCATAAATTGAATAAATTATGGTTAGTCACTGTTAGGCCAGGATATAGTTGAAAAGCATTGAAGAGGATACAATATAACAATTTAACAAAAATTAAAAAGTAGTCATACAGTGATATTACATAAATATAAGTCTAAAATGTATACACTTAAACATTGATGCAGATCTGTCTGTGACCATTCTTCATAAAGTTCCTCAGATTTTGTTCATGAAGGCCACATTAGGCTCTGGTTTTGTTCTTCATCATTATGTAGCAAGCCCTTTGCAGAATGTTGCTTTCAACACAGTCTGCCGGAAAGACTCTTTAATCCTTTGCCAGTTTCCCTGCCTCATATATGTTTTATGTCTTAAGTGTCTTTATTATCCTGTGTGTTCATCGCCTTGTCTTCCAGGAGCTATACCCTCCATGATTATTCTGTCAAGACCATTGATTTTTGATGTGGTCTTAGCAAATCAGTTTCTACAATATGGTTCTGTTTATTATCACGTTTCATTACTATTCTGATTTTGTAGAATGACTTGATGTTTTCTTCTTGATCGATGGTGTTCAAGAATTTTCTGAAACATTTAAAGTCAAAAGGATTGATTTTCTACTTTAGTATTTGATTGATTTACCTTAGAATGTAGCCACATGTGAAATTCATGTTTTTAACATTTTTTATTTTGTTTGCTTTTGTTGTGGCAAGGATTCTGTTACTTCTTTTTTTTTAAATTCCCCAATGGAGCAAGGCCCTTAATCAGTTTGTGTTAAATCTGTTGCTTTCATGTATAGACCGCTACATGTCTTCCTCAGCTTTTAATTTTGCTTTGTAATTTCCCTCGCACTATGTTTATGGTCTGCCTTTATTCCTTTGTGCATATAGATTGTTACGAGATTTAAGTTGTTTTACTGAATAATCTCAAAACAGTCTTATTATTGCTTCTTTAGAAAAACTTCCTTAGTACGGCTATCTTGGAGTAGTCATGACACCTGAAGTAAGGTGTTCTGCAGAGATTAGAACAAGAATTGCCATAACAATAGTGGCCTTTTCTATGTTGCAAAATATACCATTTAAAAAGATAACTGGTGTGAGAAAGAAAGGTGTTGAAATAATATATGCTAAATGTTGCTTGCTTGTGAAATACGAACAATGTGAAGACAAACTGAACAGCATCTAATATCAAGTGACATTAGAAATGCAATTTCTAATAGAAAAGGTTGTTGTTGTTGTTATCGATCCAGGGGCGCATGAGCTTTCGCCCTTTGGCCCAATGCCATGTAGTGGAATTTGCATGTTTTCACAAGCTGTTCTTTTCCTCCGTACAAGGTGTTCCACTTGTCTGGTCTCGGAGGGAGTAGCGTTCTTCTTGTCTCACTGAGTTTTGGGCACTCAAAGAGATGGTGTTCAACAGTTTCGTAGGGGTAGTTACATAGCTGGCACTCTGGGGAGTGTTGTGGCTGTATTCTGTTGAGGTGTCCATTGAGTGGAGTATGTTGCGTTCTAAGTCTGAAGATGGTGGCCTGGTCCCTTCTTGTTAGATGGTTAATGCTGTCATTAGGATCAGGGCCAGACATATGTCTATAAACCTCTCTTCCAGTGTCTCCCATGGCCCATCTGTTCAACCAAGTCTCTTTGTTTATAGCTCTTATCAGTGTTTTTGCTGTCTGGAGGGTTGTCGCTGTAGGTGGTTGTTCTTGTGTTGCTCCTTTCTTTGCCAATCTGTCAGCTCTGTCATTACCTGGTGTGCCGGAGTGACCTGGAATCCACTGCATCACTATTCTGATGTTGTATGAGGTAATAAGCTGATCGGCATCCAGGATTATCTTGGCTATGTCAGTTCTGCAGCGTTCATTGCCCTCCAGAGCTTGAAGGGCAGACATTGAATCTGTGAAGATGACAATATTTTGGACCTTTGAGGGGTAAACATCCATTACATTCTTTAGGTGGTATACTGCTGTTTCCAGTGCAATTATTTCAGCTTCATAGTTTGAACAGAATTCCCCGCATGCATCAAAAATCTCTTCAACAGATCCATCGGGATAACCTATGTAGATTCCGTAACCTGCTTTAATGGTAGCTTTAAATGCTGATCCATCAGTATAGACATGTATCCATTATTGGGGGTAAGAATCAACGGTCTTTAGTGATGAGTTCATAAGAGCGATTGGGTCGGACTGAGCCTCGAGAGGCAGGGGGTAAGAAGTGTTGTGGGTAGTGGGTTCCCCCCCTTACTTCACCCTAGGTCTAGTGAATATCTGTTCACGAAAGGAGCGTCCATTGTGGTGTCAGCCTCTTGACCTAGCAAAACCTCTCTTACCTCAAGACCATTGTGCGTGGCGAAGAGTCACAGCCTCCCCGAGGTAGTCCCGGTAACTGGGGGTGCGAATCCCCAGGCAAAACACAATGGATCTAGAGGAGCAAACCTCGATAATAAACCTGGTGCACCACACCGTACTGCCCCCTGTGGGAGGGAAGGAACCAGAGGTGTGCTGAACAGTCTTAGGAATGGAAACAAGTATGCTAACCCCCCTGAATACCGGAAACTATCGTGAAGGCACAGGGACTCAGGACGTGACGATCCAGTTGCCCCAACTACTCATGCTTAGGCCATGCTTAGAGACATGAAGAGCTCAGCGAAACCTGCAGGCAATCTGGTGGCGGGGAATGAGAACACTGTGAGCCCCACCTTAGCTATGTGTTAAAGGGAAAGGCAGAAACACAACCCATATTTCCTTTAGAACTGGTACAGGGCATTTCTAGCTGCTGCCCGGGGAGGTAGGTAATCCACAGACACCCCAGCACCACAATAATAGAAAAGGTAAATTATACCATAGATTGACTAAACAAAAAAATGAGGCAGTCCTTGTTGAGACAATTGAAACTGATTAGAGAGTGTAAACATAGTAAGTTTTGAGGACAGCTGGCAAACTTTAAAGAAAGAGTGACAGAAGTACAAAGAAATATAATTTATGGATGAAAGACCAGCCTAGTGTAACATTTTCTTTGGGATGTCAATATATGGTACACTTGTTGCTACATTAAAGCGCACTTCTCATTTGATTATAGCAGTTTAATAGGTTCTGATTCATGTGCAATTAAAGTTGTTCTATTGTTTAATGTTTCTCATTTTTCCCTTTGTCTCACATGAGTGCCAATCAATATCTGAACAGTAATTGTTCATATTACTTTTGGGTAAATCTATTCTATTCTTTCATGTAGGAAAGCTTAAATGAGATGTGTCTTTTAGTTACCTGTTTGCTTAGTTCATTGTAGATAGTTGTATGTAACTGCATCTGTCTTTATTATTCTTCTTTTTGTTTATTGTTGTTATCTGCTGCTGCTGATTGTCTCTTGAAAGAACAATGTTAGTAGAAATAGACATCATCCATGTCCTCACTGCAGCAGCTGGACTGCAGTATTTGCCTTTTGGCCTAACACGTCTGATTTCAGCAAGTCCTTAATTGGTAACATTTTACTACATAAGTGAACAGTCTTGTTTTGCCACATGGCGATTCACTTCAACTAAGAGTATATCCTTGTTCTGTTTTATTGCTATTCTGCAACTTCTGGTCAGTGTTTAAAATTAAACATGCTGTGCATAATTCTAAAAACTTGAATTTTCACAGATACACTGCTTAACATCAAAACACCAAGATAAAAAGTAACAACAAAAAATTAACATTCTACAGTGGATCCCTGCGCTAAACCCCTGCAGGATAAACAATTAAAAGGCGACCCCAAAACACATAGAAGCGTTAGAGACTGAGGTGAATAGGATGGGGAGATAAGGGTGAGCTGCAAAAAAGGGCAAAGAATAGGACCACTTGGTACAAGATGTTTTAGTGCCACTGGGTGCAAGATGTTTTAGTGCCATTTGGTGCAAGATGTTTTAGTGCCACTGGGTGCAAGATGTTTTGGTGCCACTTGGTGCAAGATATTTTGGTGCCACTAGGTGCAAGATGTTTTGTTGCCACTTAGTGCAAGATGTTTTGGTGCCACTTGGTTCAAGATGTATTAGTGCCACTGGGTGCAAGATGTTTTGGTGCCACTGAGTACAAGATGTTTTAGTGCCATTTGGTGCAAGACGTTTTAGTGCCACTGGGTGCAAGATGTTTTAGTGCCATTTGGTGCAAGATGTTTTAGTGCCTGTGCTCCATTGATGGGATAAAAGGCAAAGGAAGAATATTCTGGCATGGCTTTCATATAATTGATAACACTGTTTTGTGTTAACTTTTGTGGAAGTATCTTGCCAGTGATAACGATAATGATCTGGCTTTAGATGATAACAAGAAGATACATTTCTTTGGCTCTGTTAAATTACTCTAAAGTTATTCATTTTTGTGCCGTAAATTTGTTGGTGGATTGATTGTTGGTTCCTTGCCTCTCAGGTAGATGGACTCAAGACTTCGAAGGAAACACTCCTAATTAGTCGACCTTTATGACATACTTGCTAGGGAAGTAGTGGGTCTGTTTTATTTTTCGCCACAGTTGAGCCTGAGGATAGTGCATATTGATGTTCTGACCTTTTCTTTGTTACTTAGGTAGCATAAATGTATTTATAGTTTCATTATTGGTTTTATTACTAG